GAAGATCAATGCAAGGCAGACGATCCATGGATGGTCGTTTTCGCATGGAAATGTGGAGAGAAGCCATTGCAAGTCTTGCAGAACCGCCAAAATTTCCAAGGGATTGATTTTCAGCGTTTCCTGTGATTTTGAAGTCATTCCCTGGTGCCTGTCTGAAACTACGACTGGCTGGCTTTCGGGAACAACGCCCGCCGGATTCTGCTGACGCAGTTTTTACTCGAGACGATCCAAATTGGGAGTTGGTGGCCAACAGAGTCCCATGGTACGACTGTACCAACGTACCAGTACCAACTCTCGTACGGTACCAGGTACGGTTGCCGATGCAACTACCAATGCGATTCTCAGTAGTATCGGATACCCTCAAATGCCTGGTTTTCCCCGGCAGAATACCCTCACAAAGCTTATCGTATTACCATACCCCAATAAAGGATACCCATACTTAAGCCTAAGTAGGGGCGAACTGGCTACTATGACTACAGGGTAAGTCCCACCAACCAGTGCGATCCCCCAAAGACTGATACACTGATACCCTCCACCATGTGACTACCGTTGTATTTTGGTTATACAGTACCGGTACTAGCTAGTAGCCTCCCGAAAGGTAGCTGCCCACTGCACGCGGATCGAAAGGTGACCAATCAGAGCATGAAGAAAACTGCGAAAGCAAGACCTGGACAATTTCGAAGGAGGCAGGTATGATTCTAAAGTGAAGTGTAGGAACAATAGCCACATGTAGAGCAACACCAATACCGTACTCGAGTAGGATCTCTCGCCTCTCGCTTCCATACAAGCCGCAGAGTTGAGTGAGCTTATCGACAATGAGCCGAACATGTAGGCATACAGACATAGCGCTTATTTCCGCAATGCCCGCCAGCAAGCAAGGCATCTTTGCTTGCATCAGATTCTTCGTTTTGCCTGGAAGAAGAAAAGTGACCATACGACCATACCGCCTTGGCGGCACTTTCAGCAGTTATTGCCCGTATATCACATGAAGACGACAAAACACTCCATCTCTTTTACCATGCTGCAGCTGTCGAACAGGAGGCATTGCCAATAATATCCATGAGCCATCAGCCTCCGTGATACTCTAGCTAGTCTAGCTAGCTAGCTCTCCAGCTAGCTAGTGGACTAGCAGTCCTTAAGCTACGTGGGAGTCCTCCAGAGTACTCCTCTCATCAGTGGCCAAGAAAAGTCCTCGAGATGAACCGGAAACCGGAAACATGTCACAACATCAATCTGGAAGCAGTTGCTTTGTTGATTCAGGTGCTTCTAATCATCTTTCAAAGTAAAGCCTGTGTTTCAGCGATTCGGCAGTTTGTGAGTAAACTTACTTATTAGTTCAGTCACTTTTTGCTAAAATCGTATGATCTTTCAAAAGATCCCTATAAGGCGCTGCAACCCCATCGTGTGAAGCTCAAAAGCGTCAGAAGTGCGTTTTCCCATGACTCTGCCCTTCTTCGCAGCTTCTTCGCAGCTTCTTCGCTTCTACGAGTGCACACGATGCGCCTGGAGATTCTGGCTTTGACTACTGAAAGCTGAAAGTGCTGAAAGCCGTGTGAGACAGTGAGGGGCAAGATGGATGGTAACGCAAACAAAGAGCTGGGGCTGGCTACGGCTGTACGCATAACTGGCTACTGCTTTCCGACCTCTCAAAGCTCGAAGGTCCGAGTTGCACTCCCGCGATGCTTGAACGTAAACGCTTTGACGTTTGCTTGCTGATGCTGATCTGAGAGCACCAAAGAAGCTGCGAAGCTGGGAGCCACTTTTGGCGAACTGTGCCAGAAGCAAGATAATAAATAATAAAAATAATATTGCACAGAAGCCTACAAAGAGAGTAACATGCGTTCTTTTCACTCCGGGGAGATAATGATGTCTTCACCATTGGAGTGATCAAACCAGCGAAGGCACAACTAGTTAAAAACTCACTTTCTCTTTCGCTGCACTTCCTGGAATCCTTTGCAGTCCAAGAACCCTCCTCTTGGCTATTGAAGGCTGTTGAAGGAGCACGTGACTCCATTTTTCAGCTACCATGATTGGCCAATAAACATCACCTTGAAAGTCAATCCTGTTTTCGTAATCTCGATTGCCAAGAGCAGAAGGTAGCTGTACCGCCATTGTCAATCTCGGGAACATGGAGATATTTTGTTGACTCTTGCCGTTTTGCTGGTTAAAACTCCACGCAGAAAAACGACCTCCGAAAAACGACGAATTAATTGATGGACAAGGAGGCCACGCACTCTCACACTCTCACAATTTTCAGTGGTGCCGAGTACAGACCTCCAAACGGAACACAAATCTACCAACGCCAAACCTTCACTTCACTTCGCAAATAAATTACACCATGGCCCAACAAACTTTTCCAATGGAATCCTCTTCGCTGAAACAACACGCCATGAAAGGCATGACAATGAAGCGCAACACATCCGAGAGCACAATGAGCAGCAGCAGCAGCAATAACGTGAGGAATCGTGCCACCATGATCCGTCAAAAGCACGCCAACTCCCAAGAACTCAAGACAAGGATCCGATCGTACCGTCGTGTTTCGATTGAATCGGACGACAAGGGACTCCACGATGACGCCGAAGCCGTGCGAAAGTCTCTGCAAACTCTGGAGGAAGTCATGAACGCCATGAATGCTCGTACTAGCTCCGGTTCCGGACTCCGCAAGGCCGTCTCGATCGGTTCCATGGCCGTGTTGCATCAAAGTCAAAGCAGTAACAGCATGCAGCAACAGCAAACTAGCAGCAGCAAAAGCAGTCGACCGCCGAGTCGAAGGATCCAGTCGGTTCTTGCCGCCAAGCCATTGGCTGCTCACACCAGACAAAAATACAACATGGACAAGTACATGGATACCGCGTCCAAACGCAACGCAACCTTTCCCATCAAAAAGAAGAAGAACTCCAGCAGTGCAGCTCCACGTAGAACCAACAGCAAGTCCTCCGCCATGGCCACCATGTCCTCCCTGTTGTCCTTCACTTCCGCGTCCAAACAAAAAAACGCAGTCTTCCCCGTCAAGCCCACTAGAGCGGTTCCAAGGCGACAAAGATCGGGATCTGGGATTCCCAAAGCTGCCTTCCAGCGCTCCAACAGCAACCGTGGCCTCGGAGTCTAAGCTAAACAGCTACCAAGTATCAATCAATGCATGACATTGCATGTACGGTTATAGGAGACGTAATACTATAAGTAATTTATAATTTTTGCAGACATCCATCCATAAACCAGCCAGTCTTGACCCCACCTCTAGCTAGCTACGGTAGTAGGAACAACCTGTGCGACGCAAAGTGTCCTCCTGATGTGCAAACAAGATGCCTATATGAATTTGCACGCAAAAACAGTTTCAACCCATGGATTGCAATGCAAATCACCACACACTGGTACCGGTACCTAAAGTAAACAATTTTAACAACTACAGTACCAACAATTCAAAAGCAAGTGTTTAATTTAAAAATGCTCGCAGCAACAGATCTTCAACACAAACCATTTCTTTCACTCTCAGTTGAACTCCTAGCTAGCTAGTATCCAACTTCTGTTTGCGAGAGTCAATGTGGGTCGTATGCATCTTCGTTTTTACAACCAAACGTCATAGTTACCAATGGGCGTCTGATGTGTTCCACCATATGGATGAGTGTCACATTTTTAAAGTAGCCCACAAAGGGTTGATAAAGGGGGCAGCAGCAATCCAAACAATCCTCGCTGGCATCAGACATCAACACAAACAATTTCACTCTCAGTCAAACTCCTGGTATTCAACTTCACCAATGCAGCAAGGACACACACCATTCGAATATTCTCCAGGTCAACAACTCCGGAGTACTGGTCAGCCATGTGGCTGACCACTAATGCACTCATTGCAAAATAAGCCACAGCAAGGGAACAACCTTGGTGAGGTACCGACAATGGGTCATATGCGTCTTCGTTCAGCCAAACTTCCGTAATTGCCGAAGGTGGCTAGGCAGAGTCCATGGGTCCAACAGTACATAGATGATGATTGGCTGCATTCATATGCATGGGGAATGTGAGGTTGTTGATATCCAGCACCGCTGCTGGTGATTCTATTTCGGCAGATGGGGTCTCCAGCATTGAAATGGGGTTCATTCTTGGAGCCTTGAAAGCTTCCTTCTCCACCTGGTGGATAACAACAGACTTGCACATCGGAAGCACCTTGATCTTCTGCCTTGTGGTGAGCCTGCGCCGCGAATGCAAGTCAAGCAGGACATGGCTTCTTTGATGGTTGTCCAACAGCAAGCAACGGACGCATGTAGAGGCAGTCCAGTGATCCTTTGTTGCTTCTGTAGATGTGCAGGGCAAAGCTGCCCACAATGCTGCGGCTTTTGCGAAGCCAATGGGATGGAATAAAACTTCCACAGTCACCGGTACAATGATCTTTGAAGGATAAGCACTTGTCTTTAGTTCCCTGCAAGTAGCTCACAACTGCATTCAGTGCATGGACTTGGACCTCCTTGTTTGGACTACCCGTGCCGAAACACATGATCTTGGAAACTTTTGCAGCAATGTCAGGCCGGGTGGTATTGCGAAGATACAACAGTAACCCAATAACAGAGTTGTTTGACCCTGTCTCCGACATCTTCGCCTAAGCTAGCTAGAAAGCACCTTGAAATAGACAGTGCTGGAGTTGTGAGCTCTACCGGTAGCTAGCTTGGCTATGCCGGTTTCACGAATAAGGCAGTCGACGCCGTCGTCGACACGCGTTCGGGGATGAGCAAACTTGCCGATTGCCCTGCATTGTATTTGATAGCGTTTTTTGTAAAAGTGTCTGTGAAAAAGCGAATATTTGTTTTGGGCTGCAATTTTTCTATTGGATTAGATCGGATTGGATTGAATTGGATTGGATTGCATTGAATTCCAGTTTACTATACAGATAACAGTACTATTTTGAATCCAATTCAATCCAATTCAATCTAATCCAATGCAATCTAATCCAATTGAATCTTGCTTCCCGCTAAAAGCTTCATTTTATCCTTTTTCTGACATTCTGAGCCACTCCTGTTGAGTACACTACAGGGCTATAGTGAGATTTGCCCATCCCCTTCCCGTTTCTGCCGTTTTCTGCATCCAACAAAAATCCAATGAAACCCCTCACTTTTTCTTTTGTTTCGGCATGTCTTCGGCAGCAAGCATTTCGCCACTACTATGTACCATATCTACTGTTGATTACAGGAAAACGACGAGCCAAAGCAGCCATCAACTCCCACGAGGTTCTCCAAGGGATCCCGTGGCCAAGGCAGCAGTTCGAAATGGTCGTTGCTCGCATCTCTGGCCTTTCTTGTTGGTTTGCTTACGCTGCTTCCTTTCCTAGACGTTGGATTGAGTGTTGTACTACCGGTACCAGCACCTCGCGGTAAAAAGGCTTCCATTATGTGTATTGACCTTTTTCTCATTTTCTTCAGAGTAAAATTGGTAAAACGGGAAGTTGTGGCAGGCTCTCTGGGAAACCTTCCCTGCGTTTACTGTCTTATGGCATAAGACAGCTGTCTGATGGCATATTATATAAGACAACTGTCTGATGGCATATAAGACAGCTGTCTGATGGCAAAAGACAGTAGTCTTATTGTAACGCAGGGGAGGAGTAGTTGAGACCATTTATGGCACTGCTTGCCGCCAAGTGATGATTCTAGAATCAACAGTGTTGTCTTATCAGACGCCTCTATTCAGACTGGTGTCTTATGCCATAAGACACCTGTCTTAATGGGCTTTAAGACAGGTGTCTTATGGCATAAGACACCAGTCTGAAAGCCGGATTCGGTAAGAGTGCCTTGGCGAGGTTATGCCAGCTTTCAAGTCGCTGAATGAATCCAATCCAAAGCTTTTTCATTTTTTAGAATTTGTTTTCTCCAATTTCCGTTCATTTACCTCGAGGTGCAGGTTGACATCCAGTGAGCAGCTTCTTGGGTCTATTCCTGTTCCCAACAACCTGAAGGAACACGGACATGTCTACGATGTCCTCATTGTCGGCGCGGGATGGGCTGGAATCGCCGCCGCCAGCACACTGAAGAAGCACGGGATCACCAACGTGGAAATACTGGAGGCTCGAGATAGCGTAGGTGGTCGATCACGGACCATCTATCCATTTGCACCCGACCTTCCCATGGAGCTTGGATCTGCATGGACTTACAATGACACTGAACCTCATGAGTTTCTACTGGAGCAAGAGTTACCCTACGGTGAAGTGCACTACGCAGATATTGACAGGTGGGGGTTGTACTTTGCGCGAGAGGGACAAGCCAACGCCAAAAAGGCCAAGCGCTACGACAAACTGTGGGATGACTACACGGAATTCTCGGAAGCGGAAGGAACACGCATTGAAGAGTCGGGCCATGATAAGCCGTACCAAGCCATTATAGATGCCTACACGATCAAGAAACGTAACGAATTGTCCACCAAGGAAGAAACATTCTTGAAAACCATGGTCCAAGCTCAGATTGAAATTGAGTATGCGGCTCCTGTGCAAGGCATTTCGGGAGGTTTCGCCGGGGATGCCGTTGGTGAATGCGTCTTTTGCAAAGCTGACTACTTTGTCCCCGTTCAGGGTGGAGGGTTTGATAAGATCTTGAGGCCCTTGCTCAAAAGTATCAAGGACAAGATCAAGCTCCGGCGCAAAGTCACTCGAGTAGAATACGGAGACACAGCACAGCTTGCCAAGGTGATCTACACCGATGACACGGGCAGGCAACATGCCAAGTTTGCCAAGAACCTTCTCATGACTGTTCCCTTGGGAGTCTTGAAGAAGCAAGCTATTGACTTTGTCCCGCCCTTACCACAAGCCAAACAGGATGCGATTGACGTTTTGGGTTTTGGAATCCTCAACAAGTGTATCTTCTATTGGGAGGAAGACCAGTCATCCTGGTGGCCCAAAGGAAAGGAAATGCTCACGTTTGTACCTGCGGATCAAGCTCAGGTTGGATCCTTCACCACCTTTTTCAACGACAAACAACTCGGTAACGGAGGACACTTTGTGTTGTCGGCATGGACCGCAGGGGAATCAGCAAGAGCCATTGAGAAACTACCTGATAGCGAAATTGTCAATATGGTAATGACAAATCTCCGCAGCATGTTGGGAAATCAAGTCCCCCGACCTTCAAACCATGTCATTAGTCGTTGGGGTCAAGACGAGTTTGCATACGGTGCGTACTCCTACGTGTCGGTGGGTAGAGGAAGCTTGGTGGACAGTGCGCGGAGAGAACTAGGAGCCAGGACGGCCAGCAAACTATTCTGGGCGGGCGAGGCTACGCATCCTGTCTGGTCAGGAAGTACCGTTGGTGCCTATCGAAGTGGTGTCACCGCAGCTGAAGATATTCTTTTGACGCTCCGACATCGACTTCATGAAGAAGGAAGAAAACCAGTCATGAAGACGAGGCGAAACCAGAGAGGTTAGGCGCAATTTCCCTGATGATGACCAGGGTAGGTGCATAGGTAGTGATACTCTAACATACAAGGTACTAGAAACCCAAGCAACTAGAGTCAGATTGCGTCGCAGATCTCGAGATAGCGTTGGGGATGGACTGTGGGACGGTCTAAACCTTCTTCTAGACAGCTTCTGGCCACTGTGTTGGAGGTGGCATCAATGCCAAGCTGAAGCTAGCTAGCCAGCTGCAGCGCAAACCTGCAGAAAGTTCTTGAGATGATGGCCATCGAAGTACGTACACGGGCAGTGGGCTTTCTGTGAGCGAGTACGGTAGTTATCAAATTACAGTACCAGCATGCTGATGATTGCATTGAATCCGTGGTGACTGGGTCCATTCTCTTCTCTTTCGTGCTGACTGGGTTTTCTGCATACCGTACCGCTAGAAATTTGCTCGAACTGCTGCTAGCTAGCCAGCGCATGACATTGTGCTTTCCAACCAAGTACATGTTGCCGTAATAGACTAGTATGTACGGTATCTAAGAGATGACGAGCTTTCAACACCCACAAAAAATTGAACTGGAAACCTGGCGTACCAGTATGCCAGCATGCCAGCATCCGTAATAATCCATGCCGCAGATCCCCTTCGTCAGTGCACTAAGCAATGACGGGCTTTTTACAAGGAACCCAGTGTGAATCTCCTTCTATGTAATTAAATACTACTGGAGTACTGTTTGGCTGCCAGCCCAGCTCCCATTCATGAACCATGAACCACTGGAATAGCGGTAGCTATTACTATGTACGATGTAGTAGAGTCAGTGGACTTTGGTCACGCAACTCTTTGAAGCACCAGCCCCAAGCACCCCGATGACCAGGTGACGAAGGTATGGTACATGAGCTGGTACATGTAGATGTAATGGGAGCAGCTATTAATAGGGAGCCAGCAGCATTGGAAACCGTGTAAACAGTTACTCCGGGAGTATGTCGTTGTTCTCGGATCTTTTCCAATCCTGGGGTTTCCTGAAAGGGTCTTGTCGTCTTGTCTGCTCTGTCTGCTCTGTCTGGTGTCTGCACAGCGGTACCTACTACTGAGTACTCGAGTGGCTACTGTAGCAAGTTCAGCGTGTTGAGTGGCGAAATCATGACATTGTGCTGAGCCAACTCTGCGCTAAAATAGCTACTCAGTACTAGCTAGCTACCGTAGCCAGAGATGGTGACGCTAGCACTACTAGGTAGCAAGGCAATCAGTGGTACCGCTAGCTAGGTGCCTTGTTGGTAGTTGGTAGCACTCACTTCGCATTCACCCTTTTTTATCACTTGAAGAATGAAGAAGTGAAGAAAAGCTAGACTAGTCTACTATGGTCTGCTCCAGCCCTTTTTTTGATGAGTCCGCCTCACAAAATTCATCTGCAGAAGAAAAAGTGAGATATCAATCATGGTGTTTGAACAATCAAGATCATCCCTTCAAATTGATGGCGATGATTGGCTTACCTCCATGTTCGAGGACGACGAAGGCGATCAGCATCATGCTGAAGACGAGGATGTTCCAATTCGAATGATCACCATCGTAAGAGTGTCGAAGGAAACGCAGAGACCAATCGATAGCAAGGCAACAAATTGGCTTGAATCGAGCAGCTCTATCAACAATCACGGCTCGAACGACAAGTCTCTCTCTTCACTAGACGGAGAGCGAAGGGACCATGTGATGAGATGGATGAAAGAACAGAATGGATCCTCTCAGAGACTCCGGAGTTTGCCACGGAGCAGGACTTTGAAATGTTCCTGCGGAAGCTTCAAGACAGATAGCACCACTACGTTTCTCGTGGACAGCTGCCGAAGCCTGCAAACCAACTAAGAAGGTCACAATGTGGGAAGGAAAACATGTACATACTGTTAGACTGAAGAGATTGTAGAAGCTGCGTAACTCTACGTAAGACCCAGAATACTTTTGACATCGAATTAGTGAATGAATCAACACTCTACCCGTGCCGGTAGCTACTAGAGGGGTTTTATAGTTCCATCTTGCAACTCTCCAACAAGAGGTAAACCAATACTACAAGTAGAAGTGGCATCAGCCAATAAAGCGGCCGATTAGGCCACTGAGTGCCTGCAGTACCAGGTACGACTGTACCCTAGAAGGTCCAACTTGCACAGCTTCCATGCTAATGCTGGAAAACTGCTTACGGTACCGGTGGTACCGGTACCGTACCACAAAAGGCTACACCAGGTGCAGCTACCGGTACGGTACGGACGATATCAAGCGTAACTAAATTTTAATATCTACCTACCGTCCTACCGTACGGCTGTAGCGGTACTCTAGCTAGTAGAGGTCACAGAAGTTGTGGAAGATTTTTGATGCCCCTTTCTGAGGAGCTTCTGATGCCAGTCACTATTTGGTCTAAGTGAACGTTCAGAATGACCATGACTTTCTGTGGAATCAGAAAGCTTCCATGTGCTCCTTCCTCCCAGCCAAATCCAGATGTTCTTCGTCACAATTTGAGTTTCATTTATACTTTATACATGAACAATCTTTCTTCCACCCATTTTCCCAGCCAATTCACATGCTCGTGGCTCTAAAAGACGCCGACCTTATTGCAACAAGCGCTGAGGTGGCAAGTGAATGCTTGGAACTATGCCAGTGGTTTCCCCCCAAGAGAACAAGTCAAACCAATAACGAGACGACTGAACATCCGCTTCACTGCAGATTTTGCCACAAATTTTTTGGAGACCGATCCAGAAGCTTTTGGCAGTTCCATCTATTGTCAAAACCCAGAAATAAGCAATACTCTACAACCATGACAGACATAGATTCTGAGTGGTCAAAAGACTTGTCGGACCAACTGAACAGTGGACCCGTCGTCGGTGCTTCTGTGACGGTTGCCTCCAAGGACAAAGTGGTCTCGACCAGGTATAGCAGAGCCAATCAACTTCGTCAAAAGCTTGCGAATGTACAAGTTATGAAACAAACCATGAAGATTTATCAACGCCAAGTGTCGGAGAAGGAGATCATGGAGCCCTGTCTCCGTGAAGACGTTACTGTGTTGATGGCTTCTTTGACGGAGTTTGAGGATGTCATGAAGCGTTTGCATATGGCTAAACACGGTGGCAACAGGAAAACAGTCGTCCGCACTTTCTCTGGTTACCATCGAATCAACAGCAACAAAGATAGCGGAATGGTGAAAAGAGTTCGAAGCACTCCCACCTTGCGGCGTACCGGTACCGCTGTCCAGCCATGATTTTGATTGAGCCGAATTCTTACCATGCGCATGGAGTGTTCCCAACTTCACTAAGTGAACTTTTAAAATTAAGCTAAGAGGATGTTATACTTCGTCTCTCTGTAAGCAAAAGAAACGCCAATACAACCATAAAGTGCTGTGATCGTATATGTTTGTTGACCTTGAGTCGAGTCAAGTCTTCCCTGCATCCCATCATGCCACGAAGACGCTGTGGCGTCATGTACCGTACACGGGATCGAACAGGATTTGATTTGATTCGATTCATTCGATTGGTTGATTCAATCATTCGATTTCAGGAATGATTCGATTCGATTCAATCGAACCGAATGATGAATCAATGCAGCGGAAAGATGACCCGAGCACCTGGCATGCTTGCACGGGTGGTGTTGATGAGGGCCGGCCAGGTCCTTACCGGTAGTATCCATCGAAGTGAGAGGTGTTGGTGTTCAACCAGCAGCTATTGGTTAGGAAGTTGGTTGCATCTTGCTTTTGCTTGTCCTGGTGAACCATGGCGCCTCTTAGCTAGATTCTATCAGCGAACCAGATACCTTGTTGCTGGATCTGGTGAGCTATTGCTGCTCTGCTGAGGGTTTCGGAAGCTTTAAACGTTGTAGTAACTCGATGCTATCGTTCAAACTAGATTTACATTAGTAGTATGACATGATGTTTTTATCCCTGTTTCACCATAGTTGCTTTATGAGTGGATAGTCCCTGGATGGTGATGTCGGTACCTTCGTGCGACGAGAACCTAGACTGCCGCGACAATCTACTGGTGGTCGACTGTTGCTTGCGGGGTCCAACACAGGAAGCCTCCAGTCAGCAATCAATCCCTGTGCAATAACTTGATCAGTGTGTTCGATTTGCTTGGCTTCTTCTTCTGCCTCCGCTGGATCCCCCTCCTCTCTCTCGTTGCTCAACCGTCTCTTGGGTGCTCGAAGTCCCTCCTGCCGCCGTCTTCCTCCGCCCCCATTGGCTCGTATTCGCAATACACATGGCTTTCCCACCGTGTATTTGCACCGACGATCGGGTACGGCGAGCCAGGGATGGATGGAATCGCTTTACTTCTTCCTACCCTGGGACTCGACATCGCCTCCTGCATCTTCACCCCTGAATGCAGCCTGGCATTGTCTTGTACAAGCTGGAGCTGAATGGTTTGCTCGAGAACCTGCGGCTGCATTTGCTCTTGGAGCAACGATGCAAAAAAGTGGCATTGTGGTGTCATTATGTCTCTCCTGCTGTTGGATACCTCTTGATCTGTTGGTTGGTGTTGTACTTGCTCTATCTCTATCAGTTTGCTTGGAAGGATCAATGGTGACAGGTACCAGTAGCTGCTTTGCGTGAGGTCTCACACCCAACAGTCAGCCACTTTGCAATCCCTTTAAGATGGAAGAGATTGCAAAAATTGTGAGAGGTGAGAGACGGGATGAATGGAGCATGAAGCCAGATACCAAACGTCTTTGCGAAGCCCTGCATTGAACGGTTAAACTTTAATAGAAGGTGGAACTGGGGTACCACGTGCTTTTTGTACTTCCAGCACCACTATTGATAATCTTTGACAGATAGATATGTCAAATGACCCTTGGAAACCTCGGAAGTCCCGATCTTCAAGCCTCATTAATTACCAAAAATATCTTGCGTTGAAGTACTGTACGAAAAAAGTTATGATAAGTCACCAAAATTGCTCCAAAAGAATGATCAGCGAATTGATTTAACAATGATGCCCAGTGATGATGTGAGTGCTGAAGAGAACTCTGAACAAAGCCTCAACGAACAAATTCGCATCGGCCCGCATTGGGCCACAAGCTGCGAGATGCAAGAGCTATTACAAATGCAGGTGGGTTATTACAATCTTTTGTTTCCACCAACTACTCCGAGTAGTGCACTATGCGAAGTCGATGGATCGTTAGAGAATAGAGAATGCTTGACCAGTACTCGTACTTGTAACCGGGATCTGCAAAACCAATGCGAATGCCATCGCTGCATTTTCCGTTGATCGGCTGTTGATGCTTGTATCCTACAGTCGAGGTACACCAAGAACTTGAATCGGTATCTCGTTCGCATTGGAATCGCAGCTAATCATGCATCAGCTGCTGTGGGCCTTCACAAAACCTCCGCGTTGCCTTGATTCGACGAAAAGCCAGTTGTGTTTTTACGGTACCGGTAAACATTTATTGTTGAACTGAAATTGCGCTGGCTCAACTAACTACTCAGTACGACTGTAACTGATAACCTGGCGAGAAGAAGTGTGAAGATCATCATGAAACAAAACAAACACAAAGGGATCAGATGCTCACGGCACACAACACGAAGCAATCCTCGCACTATTTCCGCCTTGAGGCAGTTCTGGGATTGTCTTTTGATTGATGACTACTCATTACTCAGTACCATCGTTGGTACTACATGTACCTGCTACCTGTATTAGCAATATCTTATATCCCATACTGGCTGGAGGATCTCATTCGGGCTCGCATGATCGATGGAAGCTCTAGAAGCCACGGCTTTGATAGGCATTAGGCATCATGGATATCAGTGGCGGGGAGAGACTGTTTAGCGACAATAATACCTATTGTGTCCCCGGTACCAGTTGCTTCACCATGCGAAGCCAGCCACATGTTCCCAATTCGAATCGAATGTTGCTGGTATTGCTGACAATGGAATCGTTGGGCTCTATTCACCAAATTCAGTGGTTGGAAGTTGGTGCCGAAGCAGCAAAAGGTGGAAAAGGGCTACTTGAGCGAGCTGCTACTGGTGTCGTCCGTTGGGATGTTAGGATCCGTGCTCTTTCCTGGCTACTGTGGGCTCTTCTTCACCTGGTGGTGGCAAGTCTTGATGCTGCTCTGGGAAGAAGTTTGGTAGCGATGTAGTAGCCCGGATAACGTCGTTTCTCATTTCAAATAAATGTTGAGAAGACGTTGAATTGTTCGAATGACCAACCAATCTTTCAATCAATCAACCAATCAATCAGGTCTTGCAGCAAGCCATCCAAGAGGAAAGTGACTGTTGTGGCTCTCATCAACAGGTTCCATCTTCGACCTCGACGTCGATCTGGAGACTAAATCCATCCTTCTTGACTGCACTTACATGTACTTTCTGCTTGAAACAACAGACAGTGCTGCACGTATTCTAGTAAGTTGAATGGTTATCATTTTGGGCGTCATTTCCATTGCTTCGCTTGCTTGAAGGTTCTCGTTACGAACTTCCGATGCCCGATGAGTAGTTGGTGCGCCGGATTGCTTTGGCTGCTCGTTGTTAGGTACGGTACTGTAGAGCGAGCTGTGTCGAGGATCAGATTGGATTGACTCTTGTGATTTCGTACCTTGTAGCTTTGTTCGAGACTTTGTAGCTGCGATTGATTCAGCCACTCAAATCGAATCAAACTCGCGTGTCTCGAGAGTAGAGAGCTTTGCTTGCAGCCAACTCTAGCTAGCTAGAGGGCAGCCAAATCATCTCCGGTACCTACGCGTTTCAGCCAATAATGAATGTAGTACTTCTTTATAAACTTTGGATGATGATCTGATGAGTTTTGACGATGCGTTGGTACACTTTGTTTCTGGTCCATGGTCCGGCAACTTGCTTTAGTTATTAGAACCATTATTGGGTGTTGGTGATCAAGGAAGCTTAGTAAAGGAGTTGGGGGAGGTCAACATCGTGGAAATGCAGCGTGGATGGATCTTTTTCTCGTCTGGCCGTCCTCCACTATTCAAACCGGCAAAAGATCCAAGAACACAGCTCGGTCATGGATCTTGCTTGCTTAGTTGGCTGCTGTTGGAAAAGCAAGGGCCAAGCATAGCAAACCATCCAGCAAGAGTTTGGACCCACCGACTAAATACCGTATAGAAAGCTAGCTACTTTATAGAAGCAGATCGCACGCTAGCTAAGGAGGAACCAATTGACCAAGACAAAAGCATAAATCAATATCAAGAAATCAATTTTGTGATATCAAGAACATCAATCAATCCGTTTAGCAAAACAGAAACGATGGACTCTGCGGCGTATCAACCCGTGTTGGGCAGCACGAATGCCTTGGTGATGGAGGAGGATCAAGACATGGGCGAACAATTTCACGATGAACCTAGCAATACTCACAATCGAGTGGAACCGTTGGAATTGGGAGAAATCGACGACACTACTACAATTATTAGGACGACTACGAGCATGGACGACGCCATGGTGTGGCCGCACATTTCCTTGGCCGTGACGATTTGGTTTGTAGTTCCCGTCTTGGCGGCCGGTATGGTATTGGCATTTTCCATTTCCGGTCGCATTTGGACGTGTGTCTTGTTTTCACTGCACATGACCTTGTCGCTCTTCAAGGCGCGTTGGCACAATCACGAATTGATTCAATTAGACAAACTCAACTACAACAGCAATGACAACAACAACAAAAAACAAGACGACCAATTTACTAATTATCAAGATGATGATGCTCACGAATATGGAGAAGACGCCAACGGATACAACTCGCAGCAACAGCAAGGTCGTCACTATCATCACCCCCCATCCAAGGGACTTGTCTATTTTTGGATGACATCGCTGCCCTCTCTAATGGACATTGTTCTCTTTGGATTAGTCTACCCCGCCATTGCCGTTGGATTCCGACCCTTCTTTGTCGAATCCGATGGCACTGTCGTCATCGAATGGACCCATCATTGGAGAACCTTGACAGTGGCCACCACCATTGGCTGGATCATTTTCACCTGTCGCGTCCTCGTCGGAGCACGCATGCTGCTTCACAGCATACCCGCATCCACCTACTATTTGACCACCACCTATTACACCTGTACATCCATTCCTCTTTTGGGCACATGTGTCCGGTGCGGCAATCTACAGATTTGGAGACGCATCAAACGCTGTTTCCGTGCTCCGCCAAGACCCAGAATTTGCTGGCAAATCATGACATTTGTACTCACTCTCTCATCGACGTGTTTTCTCGGATGGACTATCTTCTCACTCATTGTCCACTTTGGACCCTTTGAACCAGCACAACCACAAGATTCTACAACCCACAATACGCTTTGCAATCCACTCGATACCACCGAATGCTCGTTCCCCTTTCCCTCCATGCATCACCTCAAAGTCGACACAACCACAGAAACGGGATATCGTGTCAATCTACATCCCGACACATTTCCCACACTCAAAGGACGCATCCCTCTTTCGCCCGAATTCCTCAACTCTTTGGATGGATTCAGTACGGCCGGACCACTCCTCTTTTATTTGGAGGGTATGAAGGAATCCCATGAAGAATACCTCCAACAAGTCCAACAGAATGAACTACTCAAAACACAACCAAAACCAGGAGTGACGCGATTACGGGGACACGAAGAATTGGATTGGTCCATTACACCCTATTCCACAACCCTCCTATTAGATGTCGATGCCCGTGAATTGGTACCGCACAGTGCCGAAATTGATTATCTCGATCCACAACGACCACTGGTCATGGTATATCCCGCCGCACCACTCAAACACAAGACCCATTATGCACTGGCCGTCATTAATGCCACGGATGCCAATGGACAACGGTTGCCACCCACACCGGGAATGATGGATCTGTTTCAACAACAACAAGGCGATGGCAACAAACAGTTGGATCGAATCAAACACAAAGTATTGCCGGCATTGGAAGGGGCCACACACAGTACCGTGTCCGCCAATGATCACAAACACGATTGGGGTGGTCCGTTTGGATCCTACTTGCGATCTAGAGATCCGGGGTCGTTGCAATTGCTGTTTGATTTTGTCACGGCCAGTAAAACCACGCAAATTGGACCTGTTCGAGCCGTACGGGATGCGACATTACAGTACATTGACAAGGAATGGGATCAACCGTGGAAACTAGACAATCATGTGCGAGCCATTCGGATTGTCGAAGGAACGTGTCGCGACTCCACCTATCCCTTGGCACGCACCATTCACGGTGAACTCGATGTCCCGTGGTTCATGACGGGGTTTGGTCCGGGACAACGCGATGCCACGTTGGATGCCGCGGCCGTACAATCGGGGGTTCCCACCACCATTGGCAAGGCCAAATTCGTCGTACACATCCCCTGTTCCTTGAAAGAGTCGGCATTGTCGCATACTACTACACCGGCGAACAAGATCAACAAGAATGCCACAGCACAACCACTACGGGCCGTGATGGAATTTGGTCACGGACTGTTTTTCAATCGACAAGAATCGGGAGAGTCCTTTTTGATCCAAATGGCCCATGAGAATGGATACATTATCACGGCCATGGATTGGAGAGGCATGAGTCAATACGATTATCCACTGGTGTTGCGAACCATGTTGGCAAAACCGTCCCTGTTTGAATCCATAAGGGACAATATCATTCAAGGATACGCCAACAAGTTTGCCTTGCAACACTTTACTCGTCATGGCATGCTGGAGTTGCCGTGGTTTCAGTTTTCTCATGAACACGACGACAGTGAAGGCGTTGCGACGCACGTCATACCACAATCCTTTGATCCATTGGAAGATCCCAATCTTCCCAAAGGCGAAGGAACTACCGATGGGTTCATTCCATCCGTCTTTTATGGCATTTCCCAGGGAGGAATCTTGGGCGCTGGATATTTGAGTTTGTCGGGCCCCACGGGGTTGATTGCAAGAGGAGCATTGGGTGTTCCGGGCACGCCATTCTCTCTGATCTTGTCTCGGTCTCTGCAATTTGTGGGCTACGATCTGGCATTGTTACTAAACTTTTACAACAACCGACACGTTCGCATCTTCCTGAGTCTAGCTCAAATGTGCTGGGATTCCGTCGAGGCGTCGGGAGTCCTGGGTCTTCCCCTGGACGAACCAGTGCCCCCTGCTATCTTGCAGGCTGGTTTGGGCGACCCCATTGTCCCGAGTCTTGCGGCAGAACGATTGGCACGAGCCATGGACGCCAAGATCTTGCCCCACAATCCACGCGGTCCACTTTACGGCATTCCCCAGGCCCAGGCTGCCGATGCCAATCAACCTGGACCAAGGACTGCCCTCACTGAAATGCTGTATCAAAAAGACTACGAAGCGCTTCCAGTAGACGACGAGTTGAAGTCCAAAGGTGGCCGCGTCCACCTGTGTGTTCGACTAGAACCAGTTCTACAGCATCAACTCAACGTCTTTTTCCAAAGTGGCCGAACGATCGATCCGTGTGCTACAAACAAAACAGCCTGCGTACGGGAAAAGGCGATTTGCTAAAGAAGCAGATCTACTGCCGGTACAACGTTCTGAACCAAAAGTTTTTCAATGTGGAGCGGGGGAGGTACGGAGAGAGCTTGCATGCTGCAATGCCCTTTAGTGATCAATCAAGCGGCAAGGCGCGGCAAAGCTGCTATGATTCAATCATTCATTTCAAAATTTCAACAGGCGGAACGAGTTGGGCTTACAGACGTTTCACCAAATGTAGCTAGAACTACTAGTTGGAGCACTGCTTGGAAAAACCAGCATGTGTGCGCAAGGACTGATACTCTTCTCTTGCTCTAGCCAGAGTAAACAGCGGGTAGCTTGCTAGCTAGAGCCACAAGAGAACCAGTTGGCGGTTCCGTCAATTGCTGCTCGGAAGAATCTCATCCCACACAACAAAGAGTGAAGTTGTGCACGATGTGGCCAACGGTGGTGCTTCTGTACTTCTTGTATCTGCGGTTGACTTGGACTGATTTCGTTGGCCGTGACCCACGCAACGCGCCGCCCATCGTAACCCCCGATAACGGCCAAAAAGACTCTGACTCCCGAACAAGACTGAGGTCTTCTTGGCGAAAGCTCAGACGCTCAGCGAAGCAGCAATTACAATCTCCGGTATGGCGAGAGTTTAACAAGCAGTTAGCCGACAATGGACACGAAACAGGAGCTTGATGAGCTCATTGCAAAGGCCAAGAAGGATGGTATCCTAATGGATGAAAGAATCATTGAGTTGTGTAAATCGATGAGTGATGCCGCCGCAGCTAAAGCGACATTTAATCAGTACAAGGAAACGTGCTCCGCGGCCCAGGAGGGCAAGGCGGCGGTCAAGGAGGCCAAGGTGGCGCAAGAGCACAGTGTTGAAGCGACCTATGGGTCAACCAGTGGGTACTTCAAGCAACCACCACTTTGTATTAACACGGCTGCACAACCTAGCAACGCCAACAACGGAGGCAAGGATCCGGAGGAAAAGAATAAGCCAATGGCAGAGATCATTCCGTCGAACAAAAAAAACCATGTGCCCATTGGGGAGGTGAGCATTCCAACGACCGACGCCAATGACGACCTCATCATCAGTAGTTTGGCAGCGAAACGAGGCAGAAGCGCGAGGCGTGAGCTTATATACGCAAACGAGGCGGAAGTGCAAGGCATTTGCCTCCTTATGATTGAAGACGCTTTGAAATGTCTGGGTCTGTCCACGGAGGAGGTCATGCCACACCTTGAAATCTCTATATACACGATGCGACCAGATATCCTTTTAGTCCTTCGGCGTGAAGGACGCATCATTTTTGTGATCGAGGTCAAGAACCCGGAAATAAATCAAGGCGACGTGTTCCAGAATCAGAACGTCGCTGGTCAGATAGCTTCGTACTTGGTAGCGATGAAGGCACTGGGAGACGAGACTCCCATGGGCGCGATTATGACCTACGACAAGATTGCGTTGGTGACACTTGCCGACTATTCTGGCGACAAATCATTCCAAAAGGCCGTTGAGATGGCAGAGCGGAGCTTGACAACAGGCCGCAGCCCGACGCAGGATCACTCAGAGAAGGAGACCAACTGCCAATCTCGCAAGTCCACACCGGTCAAGACTGTGGTAGTCTACTCAAACATCACGAAGCCCAAAGACGAAGTCGTGACACATGTCTTTGAAGAAGGCGAAGATGGTGATGGCGACAAAAAATTGAAGCTACAAGCTCACATTTCCGATGTGCATCAGGGCGGGGCCGTCTTTCCCTTCCTACTGCAGGCATTGCAAATTGCGTACCTGAAGGGCAATGGCGTGAAGGACATCGTTCCAGCCGTGAAAAATGGTGATAGTATCGGCGAGCGACTGGCCTTTAAAGTTTCGAAAGACTCTTTTGCCTGGTGCCAAGTTCGAAAAGGCGTCGAGGCGAAAAGAGATGTCAAAGCGTTTCCGAGAAGCAATTGCGGCAACTTCTACATTTTGGGCAAGCTCGGACAAGGCCGCAGCGGAGCCGTCTACTTGGTCACCACTACATCCGGGATTGCTTGTGCGATGAAGAGCTACTACTTGAAGCCGTCAAATGGCAAAGCCGAGGAAGACAAGAAAAGGCTACAAGAAGTAGAAGAAGTGTCAAAGGAGGAAGCGGACCATTGGCAGAAGCTGTACGATTGTCGAAAGTTTTCGGCACGTTCTCTGTGGCTCGGTGGTTCTCCTTGCCTGCTCATGCCTTACGGTCGTGAGGTGGGACTTGACGACCAATCTGAAATCGATGGCACCCGTTGGGGGGTGATTCCAGCGATCAAGGCCGAGTTGATCAGGTTTGCAAAAGAGGGTTTTAAGTACCATGAATCAGATTTGCGCTGGGGCCATGTGCTTTTGGACCAAGACGACAAAGTCTTCTTTTGCGATCTTGGATCTCTCGAAGACTCGCAATGCGCTAAGGAGAATCCGGAACATGTTGCTTGGGAGCAACTGAAAGTCTTGATAAAGCCCATGGTGAAGAATTTTCCACTGCAGGAGTGCTTAAAATGGGTACGAACCAGCACCGACAAAGCAAATTCAATCATTTCAGGGGAGGAGGTTCTCCAAGATCTCATTGGTACCGAAGACGGCAACTGGGCCCAGCGATGGGATGCTCTTTTCCCTCCTGATGTTGCGGCTGACGATCTTTCGGCGGAAGCTACAGTATGTCTGAGCGCCTTGTGGTTTTACAAGGGAGAATCCGAGACTACTAGTGCGACGGGCTCACCGAGCAGTGAACCCAGTCGGAATAGCGGGACGGGCGCATCGAGCAGTTCACCCAGCCTACAAACGGAATCGAGCGAGTACAAGGAGGATGACACAGATGTCACAGAGCGGGAGCCCAAGCGTGCGAAGCGTACACCGTAGGAACATATTGTCAAGCGGAGGTAGAGCGTTCGAAATTCCAAGATCGCAGACACGGCGCGCCTGCTACTGTGTGTGCTCTTCAGTCTGTTTTCAAGGGGACAACAATGACTAAAAATGCATGTTGATTGAAGGATCTTGGCAGACTGGATTGTGTTGGGGCAACTTTGGTTATTGAGCTCGCACAAAGTAACCAGAAGATACTACTGTATAAGGATACACATCACGCTTGTGAGGCGGCAACCTGATAGCCGCCATGCGCCGCAAAGCGCGCAAGCCGAGAGCGCCACATTTTGGCTCGTAGTCCGGCATCCCTACCAGACCACCCCGTCTAGAAAAAGGAAGGGCCAGGACATGCCCTTCCTTTTGCCAGACTCTGGCGGCTGGCAAACAGATCAATGTGTGGTACTGTGGGTCTCGGCTTGCTCTCATCTTACTGGAACATTGGCGCGGAACATGGCACTGGAACATGAATCTTGAAGATTCGATGCCGCGCGAAGACGAGATAGTGTCACGGATACTCGGAAGCTTTAGTAATAAATTAAGATTAGGGATACTCGGAATTTTCGGAAGCTTTAGTTCTAAATTAAGATTAGGGATACTCCGAATTTTCTTCCGTACCAATAACAGGGGGGATAATCTGGTTAGCACCGTCCTTCGCCACATATTCGACAATAGTGTAGCCATAGTTGGGAACAAAGGACCTTTCACCAACAACAATTCCTCCTCCCCGATCATCCTCAGCGCATTGAGCCACATGATGCCCTGGCTCAGGCTCGTGGTCGTGGGTCTTGCCGCAGTACGGGCAATTGATCATGGTATCTCCCTGCCTTCTCAATGCAATAGGGATGCCGAAATAGCTTTGCAAATATGCTTGCATATCCTTCAGAGACATGGGGACCCTGTCAGCATACTCATTCGTCATGGTCACTTATTCACCAAAAGCAATGTCCAACAATGTTTATCGTAACTAGCTTGTGTGCAACTCTCCCAAACTATGTGACAATGGTGGGATTTATGCGACGGGAATTCACTGAAGCGTTCATCATTTACAGCCATTGACGCCAGTACTTGCAGCTTTGCTTGCTGATTCATGAGGATGAGGAGGTCAATGTCAGGAACTGGTTTCCAAACTACAATGTGCAAGAGCTTAACGATGACATCATGGAACTCGACCAACCTGTGTCGATTGAAGGTTGCATGCTCATCAGCCTGTCAAGCTGTGATCTAATCCAAACCAAGAATCTCAAGAATACGAGGCTTCGCCTTTGCGAAAGGCTAGGTTTGTCGATCCCAGTGGCATCAACAGTTGTCGACCCTGAATAAGCCATTAGCGCTCATGATTGATTATGTGAGGACTTAAAATTTAACGCTTGCTATATATCTTTTCATAAATTCAAAATTTAAAAAAATATGGAAGGCACAACGAAGCAATATACTTTCTGTCTTTTCTTCAATTACGGTGATGGTTGTCGAAGGAGAAAGCGGAAAGGAGGCGGGAGGATGCTCTTGTCTACCTTAAAGCTCTCTTCGAAAATAAAGCGAAATTCAGTTGCATTGCAAAGGACGAGAACAAGGCAGCGTCCTGTTTGTTGCTGAGGGGGTACATGAATCTTAACTCGCCTTGTTCTCAGGCGTATGCAAAAAGGTTATTAGGTAGATTCAGTAGTTGTAAGCCTTCTTATTTTGGGGATATGGTGAGCTTGTGTCGGATGGTGCATATTGACAGGGGCTTGACTGTCACTGGCAGGCTTCCTGCCAGCGGCAATAATTCCATCAAGAGGTTGAAACCTTTTGCCACCGACCCAAAGTTTGTTGTTAAAATACTACTTGAATCTATTGACAGGAAGGACTTGGAGAAGGAAGAAGAACAAGAGAAAAAAATTGATACTTAGACAGTTTTTATCATTAACTTCTTTCGCCTGATGAACGAGTTCACATCGATTTGGCGGCGTCTAGATAGGATCTTCTCAGAAAGGAGAGTTCGAGGGATGTGCTTTCCCGCTAACATAGCCTGATTGTAACCTTCCGATGGGCAGAGGGTTTCCATTAAAACTTTGCGGGATGCGGCGGGGAGATTGCGCATCTTCTCGTGACTCCCTTTATATCGGATAGGATGGATTTGGGAGACCGAGCCGTTGATGTATTTCAGCATCGACAATGCGTCGTGGTAGTTGAAGAACGGGTTTACAATCATTCTTTGCTCGGCTTTAGGTAGAGGGCGAATGGAAAAAAATGAGACGATCGGTGGAGGAGGGAACTTTTTGGTGTCAAGTTTTGGGTCGGTTTTTTTTTTTTCTGCCTGAGGTTGGAGTCATAATTTGCGAATCGCAGAATTTGTAAAAGAAAGAGTGGAGTACACAGTCATGGACGAGTCAGTCACGGATACGATGTCGGTCACGGATACGGTCTCGGTCACGGATACGGTCTCAGTCACGGATACGGTCTCGGTCACGGATACGGTCTCGGTCATGGATGAGTCTGGGGGTCTAGATCCTGATCTAGACGGCGTCGTTGGAGATGACAATCAGGAACAGTTTGATGACAATGGCGTTCTACTTGCGTCAGAGTTGACTGAAAAGGAAAAGAAGGCACGGCCAAAACTTCAGCATATAGCTTTGACACTATGGGATACTGATGAAGTCCACCGTGCAGAGTTGACCAGGATGAAAAAGCATCTCAAATGGTGTGGGGTTCTACATGGTAGAGAGATTTGTCCTGAAACTGGTAAACCGCACATGCACGTCTACATTCAAACCCATTGGACGAAGAGGAAAAGAATTACGGAGATCCGTAAGTGGTTCACGGACGACGAAGCGGATGTTCAGTGGCCTGGCGGTGTTTGGATAGCACCGGTTAGAGACAAGCTAGGATACGTCAAATACTGCAAGAAAGACGGAGACTTCAGATTGGAGGGGGAGATTTTCACTGATGCTAATCGCAAGGGTGAAGAGCGCCAAGATCGGCATGATCTCCGGAATGCTATCTACGAGGAGGGAGTTATCGACTTGAAGGTATTGAGGTACCGGTTTCCAAACCAAATGATGTCTCCGGGTGGAGAGAGGTACGCAAGGCAATTGATTAATGATGTTACACCTATACGCGAACCGGAGAGGTTTGAAAAGGAGCATCTATGGCAGCGGGAATTGCGGTGTAAGCTACTACAGCCTGACAACGGTCGTTAGATTATTACCGTTCACAGTATGCTAACCCGCCAAGGGAAAAGCATGATGATGGGGCGGTTAAAGTATGAATACAACCAACGAAGAGAGGGTTCTGCTCTGATCCTGACGGTTGCACCGGCCAAGGATCTCATCGACACTATCAGAGATTACAGGCATTCATTGGAGCTCTTGATTTTGGAAATACCGAAGGCGAAGGGGGAACCGGCGTTCCTCAAAGGCGTGTTTTCTCTATTGGAGCTTATTAAGAACGGGGAGGCGTTTGCATCCAAATACAACACAGAACCAGTTCGGTTCCGGAACAAGGTCAAAATAGTTATTTGCAGGAATGACATGCACAAGCCCGATTCGTTGTACGGAAAGGACAGGGAGGCATACATGGATATAAGCATCGATACATGGGAATGGGTTCCTCACAGAGTATTGGAGGAGCGATGGAATGCTCAACATCCTGATGATAAGGTAATAATCGACGAGGATGACTATGATGAAGAGGGGTGGTTTGTTGAGTGGCACGGCAAGAAGAAAACAGATCACGGCAAATGGTTCAGAGGGAGGACAGTTGAAAAACAAATCAAAGAAATTGAGGCCGAACAGGAGAAGGATGTCATCAACAATGCGAGACGTTTGATTCAACTGAGAATGAAGTATGCTCAGTTGAAGATTGCTACGTGGGGGTTCAATCTGATGCGGCCGTCCGTTACAACCGAGGAGACTGATCAGGGGGTTGTCGAGTCACCTGAACAAGTTGTCCTTACCGAGGAAGAAATGGCGATGGCTCGTGCGCTTCGGAAAGTCAACAAGAACAGGCGCAATGTTCTACTGCAGAGCCACAGGAGGGCGGCTGCTACGTTGAAACGAAAGAGGGAACATCGAAGTGAGGAGGCTATTTTCGATTCAAATAGTAACAGGTATTAGGTCTGTCCGGTTGGCCGTCGTCCAAGCTTCGCGCTGTTGAAAGTTTGCATGGCATCAAGTTCGCATGGTGTCAAGTTGGCTGTCGTCCAAGCTTCGCGCTGTTGAAAGTTTGCATGGCATCAAGTTGGCTGGGTGTCCGGTTGTTGTACCGCTCAATCGCCGCGAGGCTTTGTTTGTTGTACCGCTCAATCGCCGCGAGGCTTTGTTTGGGTCCGCTCATACGCCGCAGTGGCTAGCTAGATTGGGTCCGCTCAATCGCCGCAGTGGCTATAGAGATTGGGTCCGCTCAATCGCCGCAGTGGCTATAGAGATTGGGTTAGCCTGCCTTAAAAGTACTTGGAAGGTTAGAGTTTAAAAAAATGGGACAGAGGTGTTGCGATGGGGCAGAGGTACTTTTGGGCAGGCTTAGACCCCCTGCCCCACAAAATCCTATAGTAAAAGAGTACTTTGGGGCAGGGGGCAGAGGTCTGTGTAATATTGAGCTTTGCTTACAGACCTCTTTTATACGCATCCTTTCTTTTTTCGAGGAAGGCGTCTGAGTGGAACTCACTGGAACATCTTGCTCGCCGGGACCAGTCCCGGGGAAGCTTCAAGTTCCCTTTTCAGTTTATACGTTCACCTGCAGATGTGCAGGCTTAAACAATCCGGAAAATCTCGATCGACATGGCTCACATTTTTGCAACATGGAGCATCTGCTGACGATTTACATCAGGACAAAGACTCTTTGTGGCAGGGTTAGATTTGACGATGGTACCATCAAGTTGACTCAACTTGAGCTTAACAAACTCAGGCTTCGGCTTGGGATGGACATGGGTCAGATCAAAGACAAGCTGATGGAATTGAAACGCAGAGGAGAAATTAAGGGCTACGGCAACAATTTCAAAGTAACAAAGAGAGATGGGGTCACCCAAGCAGAGTTACTTGAGATTACCGGGGAAAAGAGACCCAGAGGTCACAGAATGTCCATTGAAATCACTAACAAGAAAGGCGGAAACAAGAAGCGAAAGGTGCTTACGGTGGTTGATTCTAGTATCGACAGTTTTCACAGATACGTCGACAATGGGACGTTCTTAGATGGGAGGAAGAAGACTTTGGAAGCTTTCGGGCTATCTAGTGGGAGGAATCACGTCTACTAGACTACCTTAAACTAATCACTCGAAGAACTTTCGCCAATCTTCTGGGGTGTTCTCTGGTAGTTTCCCCTTCTTCTCAATTTCGCGAAATGCAGGGAGTTTCAATTTTCTCTCCAGCTTGCTATGCGTGATGACCTTGTCTTTCTCGAATTGAAGGGATTGTCGTATCTGGTCTTCCGCCGGTTTTGCAATCCTTCTGATCTCTTCTTTGTTTGCGGTAGGAGGGAATTCGTCTGCATGCATCAAGACGAACCTTACTGCGCGTTTCATTGAACCAAATTTGTTGATGAGGGTTCTCTTATCCGGTTTCGACAGTTCATCCCAGGAGCCGCTTCTCTGATCCAGTGCATAGCCTGCGCGATAATCTTCAGCAAAGAAGGCTGTGGTTAGTTCTGTCAGGGATGTGTTCTTTCCTTCCGTGTTGATTGAAAACTTGATGATGCCTTTCGATTTGGGTTGAGTTGGTTCCGGGGCTTCTCCTATGAGGTTTCTCTCAAGTCGTTGGATGGCTTGGTTCATCGTACATAGTTGTCCCACAATGAAAGTGCTGGTGATTCTGCTCTCATTCTGGATTGCATTACGCATGTCATTGAGCATGTGTTGTTGGCGTTGGACATTCATGTGGATTGATTGGGTTACCGAGGCGAGGGCATTGAAGTGATCAACAAAGCAACGGGGGTCTATGAGGATTTGGTTTCCAATCGACGCGCCACCGTATAAGGAGAAGTTCTCAATCGGGAGGCCTGGCATGTTGCGGGCTAGGAAGGCTTTCCGAGCTTCGTCGGTCCAGGAAGACAGCAAATCTTCGGCATGGACTTTGACCAATGCTTGATGGATGCGGCAGAGAAAAGGATTGTCTCGAACAGTCGAGCTGGTGAATCCTTGGGATACGTCGTCTTCGACAAGTTTTGCAAGCGGATGACATTCAAGGATCTCACAGAACTCATTGTAGCGCAGTAGCAGGGTCATGACCAGTAGTTCTCGGACTTTGGGGTTCCAGAGTTTCTCTACATCGTCTTCAAACAGCACATTGGTGAATTTTTTCAGCGTGTCGACATCTGTTTCAATGTCATCAAAGGTTGGTGGTTGGCCGCCAACAATCGTTTCACCAATCTTGAATGTCCAGTTGGCTAGGGCTTTACCGGCCTGGTGTGACATCTTCAGAGACCCATTGATGTAATCAAACACGGAATGAAGGCCACATACCGACCAACCAGTTCGAAATATTCCGGCCATACCGTTCAAGGAGAGGCATTCTGCCATGTCCTGGTTGGAGCCTTTCCGGTTGGAGTGCGAAGACAATTCTTCGTTGATTTCATCGGCGAGGATCTCAAAGGTTTCTCGGAGTCGATCAAAGAGTTTAGTCCACGCTTTGGAGACACCGCTGTCGGATTTGCCTCCTTTCGTCTTCAGCGCGGCTTTGGAGAAGATTGGAAAGGTGTACTCATTGTTGCAGCCATTCAATACGAGTAGGTGAAGAAGAGAGAAGTAGAAATCCTGGAGAATTCCATCTCTGTGGGGGTAGATTGGGAGGTTTTGCGGTTCATTGTCCTTTTGACGTTGGCAGTAGGTTGTAATGACTTCATAGTTGTAGGTTAGTTCATTCACATCAGTGGTCTGTGTGTCTCTTGCTTTTATTAGGGAGACTTCACTACCGCGTCCGCAGCAGTGATAACTGGCATTTAAGAGATGCCAGAACTCGGCGTATTGTGGTGTTTTCAGCCAGATGCATGCAGTTGCCAAGGCTTCCCGGTCTCGTCGCGTGCTGGTCGCCTTCTCTTCTGTTCGTTTGCCAGTTGCGCGGTTGGATTCACGGTAGAACGCTCTGAGCTTCTGTAACAATTGCTTCCAAAGGCCTTGTTGAAAAGTAGGGATTGGGGTCTCGGTTCTGAACTTGTCGACAAAGTAGGTTTTGACTCCGGAGCAGTATTGTTCAGAGGTGCTTGCTGCGAGCTTCGTTTTATTGCCCATGAAATAGATGAAATTTCCGAACAGTTTGTCCCAGAATTCAGCGATAGCTTTGTTGGAGGACTTTCGGGGGATACCGCGATAGGGAATGGTGGTTCCATCGACAATGACATCAATTCCAATTTGGGGACAGTATCCTTGGAGAAAGCGGTTGAAATAATTGAAGGCTTTCTTCTGTCTATCGGCTGATGAAGTAAAGAGGCAAGTTAGGGCGTGGACGGTAAAGAGCTCCTCATCTTCGTCTTCATCTGCTGACATGTTGGCCGCCGCTCGTAATTGAAGATCGAGGTTCGAGTTGCTAGACGAGGTCGTCCATCGAGGAGAAGACTGGCCAGGATACTGGGACGGTAGGTGGGTAGTCAACAAGGATGAGAATGGCAGGAGGAAATGACAGGAGGAAGCTCCGAAACGAGATGAGTGAAGGAGGAGATGAGTGAAGGAGCTTGAAGGAGGAGATGAGTGAAGGAGGAAGCTCCGAAACGAGATGAGTGAAGTTTTGCCTGCTAAAATTACGGTAAGCTTCCGCTTCCTTTTCTTGATGCCGCCTGCAAAAATTACGGTATCGGGTAGTCGGAGTAGGTTTGAGTTGAAGTTTGGCACGGGTCTGGCACGGTCTGGCAAAAAGCGGTTCGATCTGGCAAAAAAAAAGTAAAGTACACGATGGATCCCAGACCAAGGACCAGCGGATTTAAAGATCTAATATCCCTTTTAATGAAGCATTTGCCGACTTTTCTTGGCGGATTTACGGGACAAGCGGATTTATTGAAGATTCATCAGCGGATTTAAGATTTTGCAGAAGGCATTTTTTATAGCTTATTTCAACACTTGTAGGTTTGCTGGCTGGGACTGCCCACTTGGGCGCAAGGGCACTGCACCTTTGGGTAAAAGGTTGTGCTTACGTAGGTCGTGGTTAGAAAAGCGAACCTCTTGCTTGCTTCGGTCCTGGCTGCATTTTCAACCATTTTGCATCGACTTTCCTCTGTAAGGTATCAAAGCATAATCTCCGGCTTACTCATTTTTTGTATCACCTCTATCGACGGAGACATGGTTCCGCCATGACAGGCTCGTTTCGTTTGACCGGTCGGCAAACACAAGAATAAGAATTGCGTATCTCATGGGGATCGATCGAATCGACCCCCTCCAATGAATGATCCCATCCGGTTGATGACACCTAAGTTGGAATTACCATCCCGATCGGCTGAGTCTCTTCACCATGAGTCTTCCACACCTGGCTGGTTCGACGAGACGTTCAACAGCCCGTCCTTTCGGCCTTGGGATAGATGATACGATTGTTTCTCGCTTTTGCTGGCACAATCATGACAAGGCTAACCATGGTGCATTCACCGACAGGGGACCAGATCGACTGAATCGTCTTGTTCAGGCCAGCCACACCGCCACAGCTCTTGTTGACGGATAAAGGCAACAGGTGCGGCTGTTCGTTTCACGGGGGGAGCCACAGATCAAAGACCAAAGAACCCTTGCAAAGTTGCGATAGGGTTGGGACTCAATTGGCAGATGTACCTGACAGTACAGTAGGTACATGGATTTAGAGAAGATATAGCGGATATAGGGGCTCTGAATTTGAATACCGGTATCATGGATCAATTAGATCTGATCATTCCCACATACGGTTGTACCAGTACACGCTCATGAACAAAGAGCAGTCGTTTCACTAAAGCTGAAGTGGATTTATAATTCAAACCGAGGTGGATTTATTGTGCTCTCCAATGCGACATGAAGCGGATTTAAGTACATTTAAAACATGATGGGGCTCTTAAAAAACGTACCGGTATTCTGTCGTGCATTGTTCGTATGCACTCTTAGCAAAGACCAAAGAGAAAGCAAAAGCACATCTACCGTATGACCACGTACCCTTCGTTTCAATCAAGATCCTTCACTTAGACTACTTGCAGTACCACAAAGAGCGTGCCGCATGGTTGAATTGTTTATCATCGCGATCATCTATCATGATTGAAGGCCGTCGTTAGCAGAAACAAATGCTCACAAAATTAGATTTCTGGTGAAGATCATTCCAAAAAACTGAACCAAGTGAAAACAGAAAACAAACAAACGAAACCATGCTACTCAACACTCGTCTCTTTGGTGTTGCGGCTACAATCGTTTTGCATGCTGCCTTCACCGTCCAATCTTTCATTGTCCAGCCGGCCATTAACCAAAATGGAAGGACCCGCACCACTAGCAGTGGGTCTGTCAGTTTTCGGAGCGAGGGGAAAATGGTTCACTCTGCTTTCCCCTCTTCCTCATCGGCATTGAAGGCGACCCCCAATGGCAATGAGGTTGATGCCGAGTTCTTGGGCTTGGGCTTGGGAGGTGCCGGTATGATGAACATGTTGTGGAGTCTGGCCATGGGTAAAAAGTGTGTTGGTGTGGAAATGCGTGGCGACCCCTTTCTTCTGATTCATTGGAATATCCGTGCTGATTTCTACCACCAGCTTGGTATGATTGATGAACAAATGCTCAAGCGGTATGGCAAAGAGGGTGTCCCTCGACGCGCCAATGGCAAGTTGTTTAAATTGGCAGAATGCTTTCATTCCCCCAAGACTTGCGCTGGGTATGTCGTCGCTGATGAAGTCATTGATGGACATGATAAGATTCATCATATCGCTGGTACCATCCTGCATTATGAGTTTATCGATGACAGATACCGAAATGGCAAGCCTCATCGTTCCGTGTCTGTCTTGAAGCCACCAAAGATTCCCAAGAAACCAGACCCCAAAGCCATCCAAAGTACAGTCCGTGAGGTTTTGGAAGGTCCCTCCGTGTTCCAAACTGAAGCAAACAACGTGTTGATTTTGTTGCGTCGGTACCTGGAAGCCGTTGAGGAAATGGACATGGAACGCGGTTTGGAGGTGCCTCGTGTCAGACTATTCAAACGTCATCGCGTGAAACAAGAGGATGGGTTTGCCAAGGACGAGTCAGGACGTGTCACGAAAGTCGAGATTGAGGAAGTCGAAGAGCTTGATTACAAAGGGAAGCTTATCCGTGTTCCAACTCCTGGTGGCGACGTTACGATCAAGGGGCCAGAGTTGTGTGTGATTGCTCAAGGTGTCAACTCGTGCGATGCGGCACAACTTGGATTTACAAAGCGCGACGTGGTGGTTGACCACAATGATGGACATGGTCCAACGGTTGCCCAGGCGGACTATCTCGCTGGATTCATTGATGTATTGGTGGATGGACGAATCCGTCGAAGAATTGCTTCGACATTTGATAAGAATGGGAAAGAATACTGGACCCGCCAAATTGCAGTAGGCCACGAAAATGATCCTCAAGTTGGTTGGATCTTGGTCCAAGTGCCAGACTACATGACATTTTGTCCCATCGAAGCTGGCACCGTCGACAAGTCGGTAAAGCACGATTCCCCCGAGTACTTTGCAGCATCACAGAAGCTTGTCTACGACTTTTACATTCAGGAAACGGCCAAGATCTTGGAAGTGCCTGAAGAGCAGTTGAAGGGTTGCCGCATGGCCTACGGACCCAAAATCTTTTCCTTGGTGGAACGAATGGGCGACGATCCACGCATCGCTCAGAACGTTATTGTTGCCGGTGATTCCTTTGGAAACGGCCATTTCTTGACTAGTGGTGGCGCCATGACGGGTATGGTAGGACATAGCATGTCCGTCATGAAATTTTGGAAATCCAAGGACGAAGAAGGTGTGGACTTGGAGGATGCCTTTACTCGTCTCTCTAAGGACGTCAAGCAAGGGACACAAGACTGGTTGGACCTCAGTGCCAAGGAATTTTCATCTTCCACCCCCGTGAATTTCGGCATCGAGCGGATCAACCAGGTGTTTGAACATAGCCATGTTGTTGACAGTGAACGTGCCGAGTCCATAGATGCTTCCCGTCGAATGCGTCATGAGTTAGCGGTCCAGGATCCAACCGATTGGCGCAGACCATTCTTCAGAAATGGCAAGGTCTTGACGGCGGAGCTAACTACACCACAAGAGGACAACAAACCACGAGAGGGCAACTCACCACAACGCAGGAAGTCAGTGAAAAGGTGGCTGAAACGAATGCTGGCATGATTAATGAAAGACGAGCGTAGAAACGCAGGAGCCGACTCACACAACAATTAGGGCAAGCAAACACAGCACATCACCACGACAAGAAAGCATTACAAAACGTGCCAATGCCAGGGGGAAACAACCAGAACAGCTAATAGAACCACTTCGGCATCAACATCCACGTATGATTCTCAGGACGGATACGAGGTTTCCCTTTGCTGGGTTCTTCGCTTCGTCTTGTGTGTATTTTTATAGCATAACACTATTAGTAGAATGATCACTTACAGCATGCGTGCTAGGTGGCTAGATTTGTTTGACTGGCTAAACTCCACCTGATGAGTCCTTGAACTCCTCACTGGTGGGTTGTCGGCAAGAGGAAGTTCCAGGAAGCGTTCCTCTAGCTTGTGTTGGTTCTTTTGTAGGTACAACACAGTGTTGGACCTTGTGTGGGGCAGGGAGATTGCCAAAGTGTAGCTCCTTGACTACTAGGCACTCAATCCTCTTCTTTGTTTCCACTTTTGATATATGCCTTCCTTTCTAGCTACTGTAGATTTCTACTGATAGGATACCGATTGTTGCTTTGGTGTGCAGTTGCTTGTCTTTTGTAAGATGCATGAAAGGATCATCTAGTCAATGCTCATTAACAGTACCAGCTATTCAGTTGACAAACAATCAGCAATACACATGTACCCACCAGAGTATGACGACCAGACAATTGGCCAGATGTGTTGAGGTGGCATATAGTCTCAATCCTTGCTCTTTTTCTTCTTGCTTGGTCTGTATTCTCCTATCACCACAGCATGATCGCGCTCATATGGCTCCAGAGTAAGTTGCTCCAATGGCTTGAATTGTTCAGATTGCAGTTTGCTCACTTCTCTTCGGAACACAGCTTCTGGTGCTGCTGTACTGTCAATGCAACTAGCCTTAATAGCCACAACCGCGTGACCTCCATTCTTCAAGAAATAGTGACTGTTCAGCGCCACAATACGGGCTTGATCTGGCTGTGCAATGTCTGCAAACACCACATCCACCATTCCAATCAGCATGCGATACTTCAAAGGGTGACGAGCATCTTCTATAATGGGAATGATATTCGTCCGCAACTTGGCTACTCCCAAAAGATCACGACCTGGTCGATGGGAGAACTCCACTGCATAGACGGCTCCTTTGGGGCCAACAATGTCACTCACATGGGACACCGTGGTACCAGCGGCTGCTCCCAAATATAACACTTTCATTCCTGGAGCAATCCAGATATTATCCATTCCACCAAGGACAGCGGCAGCCACTGTCAAAGGATAAATAGAAAACAATGTTAGAACATCACATCTTTATGCCGCCACCGTAGAAGCTTCCAAGGTAGCTCACATTTTGATCTGAAAGGATTCCAGACTCGATATTCCACCTTGGTGGGTGTGCTACCATTTTCACTGCCAGGAACCGGGGGCACCTCCACGCTGATGCGCTTTTCGCCGTAGACAGCAACTCCAGGAGTCGAATTCAGTGTGACCAGAGCATCCTCTTTACCACGGGCAACAAAGATCCCCTCGTGCCGATGAGGCTCTACAACGACTTTGGAACCACCCTTCATGCCTCCCCTTCCACCACCTCTACCTCTTCCACCGTCTCTACCTCTTCCGCCGCCTCTACCTCGCCCTCCTCTTCCGCCGCCGAATCCTCCTCCGAATCCACCTCCCCGGCCTCCGCTTCTTCCACCTCCAAAGCTGCAGTTAAATCAGAAAGAGAAAAAGAATGGATAAGCAAAATCTAGGAGAAGGAAAATGCGTGTTGTGTACTGGCCAACGAGAAGCGCTTACCCTCTTCCCCCGCGGCCTCCTCCTCCACGACCGCCTCGTCCTCCTCTACCGCCTCGAGGGCTGAATCCTCTACCTCTTCCGCTCATTTTAGACTTTCACAGGGGTATCCAAATATCCAAATTCTGCGTTTTGGTTTGCGTTTCTCTTTCTCTGCCCACTAGCTAGCTAGATCCTTGAGTTGTTCCTGTAGCTACTAGCGAGGCAAACAGTCCGAGGAATAAAAGGCGCCCAGTGTCTCTCGGATATCAAGAGCTGGGAGAGTGTTCTACCGGTGCCTTGTCAACATGTTGTTGCAGGCCAAAAAACAACGGGAATACTTGGCTGCAAACTCGATCTGTTTGATCGTTGGCTGCGAGAATGACCTGTCTGGCCGTGTGTGGGGAGAAATTGAGGCATTTTGGTGTCAAATTGACGTTTTGAGGTAAAATTGATAAATGATGGTTTATGAATTTCGCTGGAATAAAAACTGTCAATTCATCAATTATTTCAGTATTGTTCCATTTTATCAATTCTTGACAATTTGAATAAATTGTCAATGTTGCATCAAAATATCAAAATCGATCAAATCAATCCATTTTGACTCAAGTGGATCCATTTTGACTCAAATTGATCAATGTCAAAGAAAAAAATTACTGAGTAGTTGATGTTGACAGACTGGCTAAACTCCACCTGCTGAGCCCTTGCTCCTCATAGTTAGGTTGCCCGAAAAGGGAACTTCCAGGAAGTGTTCCTCTAGTTTGTGTTAGTTCTGTTGAAGGCTCTGTGTGGGTCCAACACTCAAGTGAGAGTTGGGCCTCAACTGAAAGTTAGACCTTGAGCCTTGAGGAGTGGGACAGGGAGATGGCCAGAGTGTGAATTGGGCCTGCTGGGGGAACCAGAGTCGGTATTGATGTTGATCCTGGAGTGGGGAAGGGTGATTGTCCAGTAGCATCCATGTACTGTTGAGGCCACTCTTCAGAACGCAGATAGATGGGTAACAAGATACTTTATGTGAAGTAAAATCTCTTCTATGCGAGAATCCAGCGCGCAACCTTTATTGGAGTATTCAGCCAATGAGATATTCCCGAGTCGCTGTAGGTTTCTCGGGAACACAAGGTTGGAATTGATCGACAAGCTAGCCTGTGACCAGCCTCGAATGTGTGGGCCATCCATTGAAAGGACCACGGCGTCTCAATACCTCCAATGTGAATGAATTCCGAATGTTGAAAAGCAATGTACGTAGAGGCCACAATTCCATTCACGACAATGCTTCCCGACTCGGTGAGAGGAGCAAAGATGCCCTTACGTCTCACACGACCTATTGATGTGATGGTGCACGCGACGCCATTGTCGCTGGACAACGTATCGCCTTCCTCGAGGATTGCCGCAGGTACCCACCGCCCATCACCTGTTGAGACCATGTGCTCGGAAGAGATCACTAGAGGAGGGTGCTCGACTTTGGTGGACCGAATCTCAAGGTACTCAGCGTAGACATCCTGTTTGTAATGTCCAAACGAGTACACGAGTCTGTACTTCTCATCGTGTGAGACCAAAACTTTGTCACCAATTTTGATGGTTGACAGGGGGACCCAACCTTTGTTCTCCAAGTTCACAAGACTGTCTCCAGGGAAGCAAAGAGTTGATTCACCTCCTGGAGACGTTCCCCCGCTTGATCCACCATCCGAATCACCGATGGAATCAAGACAACCCTCGATTGCCTCTCTTGTAGACGCTGCTTCGGAAAGACAGGAAATTGCCCCTTGAAAACGCCCCAGTTCACTACTGGCATCCAGATCTACGTAGTTGAAGGTGTCTCCGCGCTCTGCAACCGGTGTCGTAGATCCACCGGTGGCAATGCCAACAGCATAGTTCCACTCAGCACCGGCTTGCCATGCATTGACGTGTTCGTGGTTTTCAAGTGTCCCATGCGAGAATGTAGCCGATGGGACCTGTACAAAAGTACTTCTGTGAACCTCGGCGACATAGCTGGGGCCGAAGAGTGCTGCTCGATCCCGGGTGGTTTGGATCTCGAGCCATTGCTCCACAAAGGAATACATGCCATCGATCCACCATTCCTCGCCTTGGTTTGTGCTGACTTGAATACGGGACAACAGTCTCCATTGGTTCCCCTCCAAAAAGTAACCAGTGTACTCCATGCGACGATTGCCCAGATATGCCGCCTGTGTCACCATGTAGTAGGCTTGGTTTTCGTTTGGCAGAGACGAGGTATCGAAGAATGACTTGCGGCCGGTTCCTTCATTGCCGAAGCCTTCACAAGTCACACCCGACCCACAAGCCACGGTCTGTGCCACATCCTCAGAGTTGCAACCTCCCTCGTCTTGATCACAGCCTCCTTGATCCCAAACACTAAAGAGCACACGACCCGTTCTATCGTCCTGCTGTTGAATCCATCCATAGCCAAATCGATGTCCATTGGATGCCAGATAGGAAACATCAGCCAATGCTGTCGGTACGACGCGTTGAAACCACCATGCCGGTCGTGCTATTGGCTTGGAATACGACAAGTGAACACTGGCGGTTCGAACGTTATCGGAAAAGGCGTCACGGCAAAGACCCGTGGTTGTCATCCATGAACAATCTTGGCTGGAGCATTCATCTTGTGCTCGTGGGCACTCGGAGCAAATGGTCGCCATGGAGGTCGGGCCACACTGAACCTGCTGTAACTGACACTGATCATTCGCCCATTCACATTCCCCGTTGCACCATGCAGCTCCATTCCCTTGCGGACAATCGGCACAAGAGTCTGCAAAGTGCCCTCCACAGGAGACATCTGCGTGGACGTCCGTGTTTGCAAGGAAGGCGAGCGCCAAATGAATGAAGACTGCTATATTTTTACGAATCATTTGAGGCTGGAATCAAACTATTGATTTGTTGCTTGAAAGTTGTGATGTGTGAAGAATGAGAAAAAGGCCCGGTACCCACGATGTCAAGACCAAAGTTGGCAATCAAGGTGGGGGCAGCGGGGCTGAATGCTCCCACCGGTTGGGACCATTCTTCTGGCTAGCTATTAATAGATACGTGCGATGCCGGTACGTGTAGTACCGTTAACCCTAATGCGTTTTATTGGAAGCAGAAAAAGACACAACACCACCATCAGCATCGGGGGTCACTGCATCACCTTCCCAAGCCACAAAGTAGTGTTTACACATTGATAGGTCGAGCAAGAAGCCCTCCTGTAAGGGTGTCGAGGTTGCCAAGGAGGCGTAGGTAGTTTCAGTATCTGCCGATATCTGGAGTCTCGTGGATGTCGCGATGGACTCGGAAGATTCATGTTCCATGAAAGACGAACCGACATCGGCTCCTTCCAGCCAATCATCCTATTCTCGCCGAGCCATCGTTGTGGTCTTTGCCTTGATGGGATGCGCCGCATTGGTGATGAGGAATACCGAGTCCTTTGTAGAATCTCAGGAAGGAGTTGGGGCAATAGAAGAAGTTACCGAAACTTTTACATTGACCGATAGCAATTCAAGTCTCTGGAAGCGCCAGTTCTGTGTGGTAAGGATACCCTACTAGCTGACCTATGAAGTCTGTGATTCTGTATCTATATACCTGATTGCGTTGCGCCTCTTTCATCCGTGCTGCTTCAGGAGGCAGATGACCTCAAAACTGAAACTTCATTTATTTGCAAATGCACGGATCCCTCTTTGCCATTGCCCCGTGCCTTGCATGGGGAGTGGATCAAGTATCATTGGAAGATGCTCATTGAAGTCTACAGAGAGGATCACAGCAATACACTGGATGTGGTACTCGTGGGGGACTCCTTGATTGAACGATGGAATGGAACCCAAGCTCTGGGGCAGGGTGAGAAACCAGCCATGCGGAAAGCCTTTGAGTCCTTCTTCACCAAAGCGGGAGGAGGGAAGCTCGAAGGTGTTGCATTGGGAACGAGTGCTGACACGGTAAGTATGGGAACATGAAAGTCGTGATATGGTGAATAAATGGATGAACAGCTGATCAACATACTTCCATACTTACATGTACTTGTCTCGTCATTCGTAGTCTCGCAATTTGCTGTGGCATTTGAAGCACGGATTTCTCCCTTCCAAAACATTTTTCCCCAAGGTTTGGCTGATTCTGATTGGTACCAATGACCTCGGTGGAAAGCACTGCTCCAATCAAGCCACTCTGGACGGCATACTACAAGTAGCCGAGCTGATTCAAACGCATCGTCCCACGGCACAAATACTTGTCCATGGCCTGTTGCCACGAGGAGATGGCCCACCCGAGCCACATCAGTTGGGGAAGAACTGGCAACGGATTCAATGGATCAATGAACAGCTGCAAGCCACTTGCGAGGAACGTGACCGATGGCATTACATGGATAGTGGTGACATCTTTTTGAGTCAAGACGGGACCAAGGTATCCAAACGAATCGGGGATGGAATTCATCCGAGAGTATCTGGCTTGAAGGCTTGGGGGCCCAAAATTGTAGAGGCGGTTCAAAAGATACTGTCAGAGGATGAGGACTGAGGTTGGACCATTTGTGCTGTGCAGGCAGCAAAACAGAGAAAGAATCAGTCGTCAACCCACAATAGCGGTACCACGGGACGACTACGTCCATTTCGCTCGACAACCACGACGCAAAGTAAGTACCATCATAGCAGTCGGTACCGGTACGGATGGTACATCTCAGATGCTCATCCCATCGCATCCTTTCTTGTACGCACGAAATCTAGCTATCTACGCTCGGGCCAAAGCAGGAAGAGTTCACAAACCAAACACTGTGGACTACAAGTTCGCTGCTTCTTCTTGGTCTGACTTGGAGAGACTGCTCACCGATTCTATTTCGTTGCCTCTCACGGGTCATGATGTAAAAGCAGGAGTCGCCCTATTTGTGGAACAACAATCACACGCTAGACAGCGCTCGGGCCAAAGCAGGAAGAGTTCACAAATCCAATATCTACCGGTATCACCGAAGGCACGAACAGTTCTACCGAAAGCTTCGAAGTGTCAAGATCCCCGCACCTGGTGCGTCTTGGCTTTTGACTCCGGATGTTTCGTAGAAGCCTACTGAAAGGAGGTAAATGAGCAGGAGAGACCCTATTTTTTGTAGCATCCGCTGAAACAATAATCACGATTACGAAAATAATGAGGGCTACGGTACTGTACTACTAATAGTATGTAGATTGCGTATACTACTTGGATATCAAAAGGTCGACCATCCGCAGTCAAAAATAGCCGAAAATCTCGTTGAAAAAGAGTCCCCAGCCAATTCACTGCATCACGAGTCAACCAAATCAAATGAATCGAAAAAAGAGCCCGTGTTGTGGTGATTTTTGTTTCTGTTTTTCTCCCGTATGTTTGGTAGGAATGGGTGTAGATTGTTGTTGCTGACACATCAAATATCGTCTCCTAGCAGTTTTCTATCTAACGACGGAGCCCGAATTGATCCTTGTACTCATCGCGTGCTTGACGGAGCAACTCAGGGTCGACTCGTCCACTCTGAGGATCCGTTCCAAGGGGTCGGCGAAAGAGCAAAATGTGGGGTTCCGGACTGCACACGGAAAGAAAAAGAAATATACGATTGACAACACAACACACATATTTAGTGAACACCATGGTGTCATTCAAAAGCACCACCACTACAACCACAAATAAATCTTACCGATGAATGGCGTAGTGTTGCCATCCGCGACTCTGCTGAACCCCAATTCCGCGCCATTCCGATTCCGTCAACAGACGGCTCTTGGGCAGAGTCTTGGCCAATTCCTTGGGGAGGATCACATGCCTGGTGCAGTAGAGCAAAAAGGAGAAGGAAAAAACACGACATTGAGTTTGAGCTCTTCTCATCGCCATCCACCGGCTGAACAAACTCGACTGTCACTCCGTGCAAACTCTTACCTGTACTCATTGTGATCGTCCGCGTACTTCTCACTGTATTCAATCCGAGAGCTCATGGTGAAGGTTTGCTTGCTGGTGGTACCGGTATATTTTTGAAATGGAGCAAGACAAAGTGAAGAAGCGGTTGTTGTCTCTGATTGAGGGAGCCAGCAGGTCGTGGAGCGGGCCGGCTTCGTTCAAAAAATGACAAGAGTTCCCACGCTACGCTCAAACTTCCACGAACCCTTTCCATCGTGGCTTCGCACAAAACAGTTTCAAGCTCATTCTGCGGACCCGACCTTTCTGCTTTTGTTTGCTTGCCTTACCATGGACACCATCATGGACACCATCGTGCCTGGGGTCGGGTTGAAGCGCTTTAGTGAACATAATTTGGAGGTATCGTTCAGTCCGTCCCACAACATGAATGCCACTCAGTGGGGGGAGGCACTCTTGGACATCGCCAGCGTGGAAATTGTAGTGGCGAGGAATGCTGGTGTTCATCCAAGTTTGTTTCATCAACCAGAGCATGAAAATGAAGGAAAATTCATGAAAGCCCTAGTGTCCTTACCAAAGTTGAAATCGTGGTATTGGTTCGGCAACGTTTCTGTGGCTCTGGCATCTTTCGTGCTGAGACATGCTGTTGGCCTTGATGACTTCTGTGCGGGTCTGGGTCCCTGGGTTGGGACTGAACTGGAGTTCAGAGAGCTTTCTCGGGGCTTTGAGGACCACAAAGCTCTAACGACACTTTCACTGGACGGTTGCATTTTTCCAGCAGACTTGTCAGTCCATTCAAGATCCCTGATGAGTGATTGCGCCCGCATGACTCGGTTGAAGTCTATCGCGTTGTCAGGACTGTCAGCATGGGGGTTAGATTCATCGGACTTTGCACGAGTGTTTTTGAATCCAAGGCTTAAATCTGTTTCTCTCGGTGGCATGGTTCTGAATCAAAATTTTGCGTCCGAAATTGTTAACAGGCTCAGTCGTCGAGATCCAAGCAATATCCTCCACGAACTCACCCTCGAGGACTTTGGAGGCTTGGCAACCATTGAGAGTTCTGCCATTGCATCGCTACTGTCAGCAAATCTACCTATTCAAGAGTTAAAGCTGTATTTGTCATATCCTCCAACGAACCCTTCCAAGCCATTGCCCAAGCTCTTCTCTCCAATGCCACCCTCGAGATTCTCAAGTTCGACATCGATCAACATTTATCCCCACTCAGTGATGAAATCTGGGAACCCTTTTTGGGATTGCTAGAATCAAACGTGACTTTGTCAGAAATTTGCGTAGAACACGTGTTGACGGTACCCGACAATGATCATGATGAACTTGGGAAGCTTGACTCGAACCCCAAAGTAGAGTTCCTATTGAAGCTGAATCGCTTGGGGAGAGGCAAGGTACAGGGGCAGAGCGCAACGATGAGCAAAGAGGAATGGATCCAGCAGCTGGCGGCTTGTGGCAATGACCTGGATTGTTTATTCTACTTCCTATCTCTCGATCCATCTTTGTGCAACACCACTTATGACCAGCAACGCAAAACCAAGAAACGAAAGCGCTCCGACACCGTGACAAAGTAGGTACCTGCGGCAGTTGAGTTTTCTTCGTTACACATTGCTCTGTCTCCATTGTTCGCCTGAGCGATTTTTCAAGCTATTTGCTTGACTGTTCCCAACAATACTTCCTTCCATAAGAGATTATTTGACTATAGTATGTTTTTGTTGCTTCCGAGTTTCCCAGTTAACATTCACTCTTCTGTCTGAGCCTGATTGCCGGAATCAGGCAACCGAGTGATGTTCATTTTCCGATAGTACTTCTCCAATACTTCTTCTACCGTTTGATTCTCTCTTGCGGCAGCAATGGCTCGATGTCGCATAATCAGAGAGTTGTTGGCATTGGAATTCTCGTGCCCCCAGCAACGGGAAGGAAATCCAAAGTTTTCTGACAGTATTTCGTTCGTTTCCGTCTTGTTGTCCACGTGAATCTCCACGTATGTCATTGTGGGGTGAGCTTTGGCAAAGTCACGGATCTTTTGGTTGTGTTGGTTGTAAAAGCTCATCCATTCTTGTTTCCTTGATCCCACAGGAGGAAATCCCTCGCAAAAGGTTGACCATCGCAACAGTAGACCTTCCCATCGCTTGGCGGATTTGTACCAGGACTTGGCATCTCGCACCGTGTTCATGATGGTACCAAATGGATGCGCTTGGTAAATGGCTTCCAGACCGCCGTGGATGGAGGGATAGAAGCAATTGTTCTTTCGAAGTACACCCATGTCTGACCAGTGCTTGTGGTCACCGCATCCTTCAACAATAGATCGATTGTTCTTTATGTTGTCTTGCATGCACTCACCGATTGTGACATCTTTTGTTGTGCCCTCTCGTTGCGTCCACTGATGAACTCCTTCGAAGGCCCCCATGCCACAATTGAGATAAGACTGAGCAGTGCTCGTGGCGCTTTTCGGGAGCTTGACAATGACAACAAACGAACCAGTTGGTAAGAGATACGCCGGAGCGAGATGACGAGGACCGAGATTGTGAAAGGTACTTACTGCTGCCACAAAGACAGGATACCGAATATCTCTGGGGCGCCGGTCCTTGCGAACGGCGTGATCCATCCAACAAGTTTCGGGTATCCCCAGATGCTCATTTAGCATGCCAGCTGTCCCTCGAGTGTTGACTTCCAAATCAATTTCCAGGAACTTGACATGCGGATACATATGCCGCATATGTTTGCGGAGGGAACTGTTGACAGTGACGTAGAACCGAGTCCATTCCTCCTTAGGGGCGTTGGGTTCGGGGAATGGAAATCTACTGGCCTTGAGGTTGCACCAGCGAAACCACCGTTCTCTTTCTTCGGAGCTCAACGTTTCGTACCAGTCGCTGGGGTCGCGAATGACATTTATCACCGTAGCGTTGGGGTATGCAGTCAAAAGCTTGTCGACGACGTTGTAACGCAGCGTCGGAAAGTAGCACTGACGTCCATGTTCTTGCATTTCTCGCGGTGTGGACTTGGAGATGTAATCAATCTCGGTCCAAACGCGGTACCCACCGCAGTTCTCCAAGGGATCAAACGATGACAAATCATCCGCGTCCGCCATTCTGGTGTTGTGCCGAATACACTTGCCAATAGGCCGCCTCTTGTAATACTCTGTCGCGTAGAGATCCCTCTTGGTGTATCGACGTCCCAGTGATTCTTCGTCCAAACCAGCACACTGAAAGTATCGTTGAATGGAGACACCTCCATTGTTGGGAAGGCTGAAAACAAAGACTGGGCTTTCCGGAGTGATGCTATCCGAAAGTGTCACCTTCTTGTTACTCGTCATAATAGTATCGTCGTTGCTGTATTGCAATCGATTCTCTGGGGCGTCATCTTTTGTAATGATGGTGCTACTAGCTCCCAGGCTTGTCGTGGTTTCAGACGAAAACGGTCTTTCGTGCGCGGTTTTGTTCTGCTTGTGAGCAGCCCTGGTAGTGTTGCCCACCTTTGCACTTGATTGAAGTTTTTCAAGTCTCATCGACACCTTTCCTGTTGAGTGGTCCTTCCTCGGCAGCATTGGAGGCTTGGTAAGACGACCAGTGTCTTTGTCTTTGACAGTACGTTTAACCTGAGGTTTCTCGAGCCGTAGCGACACCTTTCCGGTTGAGTGGTCCTTCTTCGGTAGCATTGGAGGCTTGGTGAGACGCCCACCTTTCAGTTTGGCTGCTTCTTTGGCTTCGCTCCCGGAATTATGTTTGTGTCGTTTTCCCAGTCTTTCCGGCGTCGTCTTCACGGCATGAACATGATTCTGTGGTTTGTTGGTAGACTCCTTTCCTGCGTCTTCTGGTGGCATTGTGAGCCGATCATGCACCTTGACAAATTCTTTATCTTTTTCGTTTGCATCCATCGGTATGATGGATATCTGGCGCCTTTGTTTGTTCCCGCCGTGGCCGCTGCCCTGTTGTTGAGAAGAAGAAATCTCCTTCTTGTACTTTTTGGCCCAACCAGGTGTAGTTTTTGACTTTTTGCGACGCGGGCGTGTTTCAGCTTCGTCCATGTCATCACTAAAGGCTGCCAACAACACGGCCATCTGACCAAAGTCGGAGGAGCTAAAGCTGGCAAAGCGCCGTCGCACCTTGTCATGCCATCCCAGCGTGTTGAGAAAGATTGCCACGTAAAAGGCTGCCGCCAAGGAGAAGTAAAAGCACCTTCGGCAGACGGAAGTTTTGTTGCGCTGCGGTGATCGCATCATGGTCAGGAGGATATAGCTAGCAGGATAGCAGGAAGATGTAGCCACTAGGTCTTGATGAGTATCCTCCAGAGTGTAAACGAGCGGCAGAAATTTGGAGATGGACGGTCCAGCTTCTTTCGCACAAATGAATTATTTGAGTCGTTTGGGAATTGTGTGGAGAAAATTTCGACTGGTCGTCCCCACGGTGGTCGCCACAATTGTACTACCAAGTACTAGTACCGGTAACGTAGCTAGTAGTAGCAAAAGTGGCTCGGCGGAGCAGCCGGTATTCTGAATGAAGCACCCGAAGCAGCTTCCAAACAGTTTCACTAGTACAGATCGTGTCAAGTCAAGTCAAGGAGGAAGTGTTGTCCGTTGTCGACGAAAGCACGGTCAATATGCTTTGTCCCGAGACCTGACAACACTTACACACTCCTTCAGCCAGTCGGCAGCAACACCCTTTGCTGAAGCTTCTAGTCTGCCGTACCGGTATACATGAAGCTGATCTTTGCGAAGCCAAAGAGGCCGATTGGGACGAGCAGGCGTGAAAAGGCTCCCAGAACTACAAGACAAACCAACAACAACAGCTTTGCCCGGTCTAAGAACCTGGGCGCAACTCGCGAGTCAGCTCCGATGCGCTCTCGGCAAGCCCTGTTGTTCAAGGCTGTTCCCTTCACGGTGAACGCAGAAGCTGAAAGGAAGCTTCGGCTTTCAGCGATTGAAAGGCATGCTGCATGGTGGTTGTCTACAAGTACTTTGAAACGTGGACAGGTGCGAAGGTCACTCGACCCAGTTAGTCGCGGATGTGCACGATTGCCTTGACCTGCTTTGATCCTCAAAGAATAGCTAGTGCGGTAATGATTCCTGGCAACAGAACCAACACAAAATCAAATCTAACTGAAGGTGCCGCAAGGACAACCACAATTACCGAAGAATGGCATCCAGGTGGGTTTCGCACTGGCTGATTCTGGTTCCTCCTGAGGACGATCGACTTGGAACGAGCCGGGCCTTCGTTGACCATGCAGAGGCAGTTCGAACAATCCGGGATACCGTCGGCTTCTCCAAAGCCACCATCAAGTTCACCGCCAAAGGACATAGACTTGAAATTGCCGTCGACCCGAGGACTGGAAAATGGGGTTGCCCTCGGATTGGAACGATCAAGGTCTCCACCATGGAGCCCAAACAACAGAAAGAAATGACATGGGCCAGAGCTGGAGAGATAACTTGGGTCCGCCATGGACCCTCACGAAGGGATCGGATGGAACAGCTTGTGGATGTCATCAAGGATGCCATTATCATGGGAACATTTGAGTTTGCAAATGTCAAACCATGTGTTGCGCCATTCCTGGCCAAGGCGCTGTGCCAAACCCAGCTCACAGTTCTCAAGATCACCCGATCCACCGTCTTTTCCGAGGAAGTGGCAAAAATGCTGGCACATCTTCTATTAAATTGCAAAACACTGGAACGGTTGGAGCTTTCGTCATGCAACTTTTCAAATGCATCTCCCGAGTCAGTCCTGCTGGTTGCTGATGCCTTGAAGAGGAGCAGGCTGCAGTCGTTTAGATTTGGGACTCATAGCTGCTATCGGGGTAGCCTTGCCCTTGCCTTGCTGCTGGGCAAAGGGTTGGTGGGTCACAAAACACTCAAGAGTTTATGCTTTTCTGGGCATACATTTCATACTGTGGATGCTGTGGCTGTTCAAGCACTCCTCTCTGCTGACAATTGCATGGTGAAGAAGTTGTACATCGATGGTTGCTTCGACGTGGGGCCAGAAAGCACTGGTGGGGCTGTTAGCATAGTGGATGCGGTGGCTGCTGCTTTGACTGTCAACCAGACAGTCATGCTTCTTGATTTGTCTGATACCAAAGTGGTATCTGACAAACAGATGGAGGCATTGGCTGGTGTGCTGTCCAAAAACACGGTTCTTGATGAACTCTACATGGAAAACAGTGGAATCTCGGAAGTAGGAATCATTGCGTTTGCGTTGGTGCTCCCCAAAATGACGCGGCTAAGAAAACTGGACTTGAAGCGGAACGGGTGTGGGCAGAAGGCATGTGATGCCCTTCGAAGCAGTTTGGAGAAAGGGAACTTTGGCCTTCATGTGCTGGAATTCGAGAAACAAGACTTCCGGGCCGCCTCTGTCTGTTGCACCCCACCAAGTTATTTCTATGGCTGTGATGAACATTGCCGCCTGGCTATCGAGTGCCAATTGGCACTGAACGGGGGTGGAAGGGCCCTCCTTGGTAAGCAAGATGGTGGCAAGAAAAATGTCCCTTCTTCGCTTTGGCCTCACGTTTTTGAGAGGGCACAAACCGTGGGCACATTTTCCAATGATATTGTGTTCAACCTTTTGAGGGCACAGGCAGTCGCCTTTGGCCCTGGCAAAGTTTGATTCAGCTAGGATGGCACGCTGATGTTTGGCGGTGTTAAACAAATAACCAACCAATCGATATAAAACCAATTCGGCTCACGGCAAGTGACGATGGATGAGACTATAGTAGTCTAATTATGAGGTTACAGTGGATTTGTGGGGGATGGGATCCAGAGAGCTGTCCAGAGGCCCCATGGCGGTGGAGGTGCGGGCTGATACGTGGGCTCGGGTTCGACCCGCCCAACCACAACCAGCGCAGCACGCACAGAAAGCGGACAGAAGGGCAGTCCTGATTATGTTTTTGGTGGCTTCCGTGGGTTGTTGCATTTTGTCTTCTTCTCGGCTTTCTCCGTTCAAACATGCTTCTGCTTCGCGTTATTTTGATCAATGGGGCTGTGTCGCTTCGTTGCGTTGGTGGCCGTTTCAGTAAAATTTACTTTACAAAAATTCCAGCACACTTTGCCTACTAGACCTACAATGTACAAGGCCTGCACCGTTCTCCAGCCCAGTCACTGTTGCACCGGCCTCGTCAGTACACGTACCAGGTACGACTGTACGGTACTGTCGCGCTCGCTGGTGGATGGGCCCGTTGACGCAAAAAAAAACCCTCCTTCCCGGGATTCGCAAGGCAGGAAATTCCCCACAAAAGATGCGTTGGAAGCAAGTTTCTGTTGCTGTGCTTGGCCCATCAACAGACTGTGACAGGCAGTCTACTCGTATCATACCGTACAGCAGGATATCGTGAAAACACACCAACGAAGGGACCACAGAACAAACCGTTGTAGGTTCCATTTTGTATATTCCAAAATTCTTTGTCCACTGGCCAGCCCCCAAAAGCGATGACCGTTGTTTGGAAGCACTCAATACTTTCGGCCAAAGGTGTCTCTCACAATTCCCATCTCAAGCAAATAGTATCTTGCCTAACAAAGAAAAGCGTTCAAGATGACCTCCGTTGTTGACAGCATTAATCGTACCTTGTTCTTCTCTGATGTCCCTGATGGTGTTTTGAAGCACAAGCCTGTGGAACGCGATGTCCGCGACCTCTCGGACGTCATCACCAACATAGGCGCTGACATTCACAGCACTCTCTTCTTTGATGACTTGCAAAGTGTCGCCAACCAGGATCGCCATGCTGAGCTGATTGAGGAAGATATGGCCAAACGCGAACAAAAACGCAAGGAAGTTGAAGTCAGCCCAACCATTGAAAAGGAAGAACCAAAGGGTGCTACAATGACATTCACAGAGCTCAAGAAGGAGATGGATAACCGCACCATTCCATCCCCATCGCTTGCTCGCATTGAGAAGGTCAATGCGCAAGTAGCCGCGGAGAAGAGAGAGGCGGAGTTGGCCAAGATTGCCCAAGGACTCGAGAAGCAGCACAGCAAGATGGGATCGCTCATGGCCAGGGTCAAGAAGGCCACCAAGTTCACTAGAGCAAAGGAGTAGACATACCGGCAGAAGTGACAACAACAACAACAAAACACAACACTTGAAGACCCATGATTTCATATTATTTCACACCATAGCAAAATCCATCCGATGGCAATCGAGGCCTTTTTCTAAACGCTGCCTCTTGCAATCATCCACTATAAAGCAAAAGTTGCAAAAAAATTCTTGGTCTGTGCATACAAAGTCTTGCTCGTTCTACTTGGTGGCGGACTTTTCTAGCTAGCTAGATTGCAGAGAGGATGCAAGATGCTGGTCTCTCTGCAAGTGTAGAAGGACATCCCCAAGATCCTCAGTAGTAAGAGAGGTGGTTGATTGATTGCATCATCGGTCAAGTGAGTACTTTCGTCAGTGCGTGCTATGACTTTTGTTGTAGTTTTTCCCACTTGGTCACCCAATCCATGACAGTTTGAAAGTTATCCTTTCCTTCGTCTCCTCCTCCTCCCATGGCATAATTATTGTCATTCACCACTGTGTAGTGATAAGCTTGATAATATTCATTCCCCTGTTCATCGGTGAGAATCTCTTGATCCCGTCCCGTGGCCGCCAATATCCGTCGTCGTCGATGTCGCAAAAAGAGTCGTTGCCATCCCGCTTCAAATGACGTGGAACGAAATGCATCACTTTGAAGGTAGTCTTGAATGACTTGTACGAATGCTTGTTTGCTGGTCGCCTCACTCAAGTTTGCCATGTGAATGACGGGCAATCCTTCAAAAAGCTGGTAGGATTCCGGATTGCGTTCTTCGACAATGGGAATCACGCCCAAGAGTAGCATTTCGTAGGTTCGATAACAATCGTATCCCAATCCGGGAGGACTAATTCCAAAGCGATAGCGACTCATGTCGGCATAAATGTGATGGGGTGGCACCTTTTCGGTATTGCTGTTGCGACAGCTGTTTGTGGTTGTGCTGGTTGTTGTGGTTGCAGTACTACTAGTATTGTTGCACAGGACATTCCACAATTGCTGTCGATGAGGTCGTCGTGTGCCAAACTGCACGTAGACGTCCTTCTCGAAATCAACAGTCGCCAAACTAAATTTGGATTTGTCTTGGAATGGATTGGTAAAGTTGGTCAACTTGAGATAGGGCCACAGGTAGTTTTCTTGTTCGTGGACACTGCTGAGTCCCAAATTGAATGCCTTGAATTTGGATTTGTGTCGTTGAAAATTGGCATTTTGTAGAGTATGTTTGGGATTGGATCCGTACCATTGAAGGAGCAAGGGATCGGCCATGTACTGCGCAATCATGCGATCGGGAGCATTGCCATCGGAACAGGTCGTCAAGAGAACGTACGGGACTTTGATAAATTTGCGTTGCTGGTCAAAGAATTCGAGCCAGAGACGACGATGATTGTCAATGGTAATGACCGTGCCGGGGACCAGACAGGGTAACATTTGTGTTTGGAGACGGGATGCGTGATATTGGATGTAATCCGTGCCGGTAGTTTGTTTATTGGGTACCATGAGATCGGCAAGATCAAATCCATCTCTATTTTTGATAATGTTACTGTCGTCTTGTTGCAAGGAAATGGCCACCGTCTCGACACAACAGGACGCCTGACAGAGTTTGCGTTTGGTAAACCAGGGGGTACTGGTTTTCACGACTGTAGCACGATTGTAGGCCGAATGGGTCCGTCGTTGTTTGATGGAAGGCTTGAGTTCATCCGGTTGTTGGCTCATCTTGTACACGGCGTCTTGGAGATCAAAATAGGAAACAACATGGGGTTGTGTGGTGGATGGTGTTGTACCGGTAGTAGTGAAGGTAGCCGAAGTAGAAGAAGCAATTGCATTCGATAAAGTAGTACTGATGGTGGAATTGATATCTCCTCCCAAGACCATCACCTTGAGTTCTCCCATAGGAAGCTGCAGTATGTGTTTGTTTTCCCAAATGATCGTGAGAAGAGTCAAGGTTGGCGTCAACACTACCAGGACATACGTCAAACCTCGAAGACATCGCTTCGATAAGTTGGGCTGAGAGGATCCTTCGTCGATATCACCATCGTCATCTTCCAACTCCTGTCGTCTTGATGCTCTACTAGCTCTAGTAGATTTCTTCAGGATCCTGGGCATGGTCTCCTCCTCTCTACATCAGACGGATAGACATAGATACTATCTAGATCGAATGTCGGAACATGTTGCTTCTTGGCAATGGTTGGGATGCCAACATCCCAACCATCATGACAGCTGCGTCACAAACCTGTAATCGCGGTCATTGTTTGCGATCTTTAGTATTCATTCATGCTTTGCTTTAAAAAAGATGACTATAGAGCTGGGCGAGATTATCAAACGCTAATGGTACCACAATGTTAGTGGATCCACGTTGGATCTTTTCTGGTCATCCAAATCTTTGCCTCCAGTTATCCCAAAACTGCACCCCTAAACTAGTCTATCATTTCGTTTGGGTTGGGTTGCGTTGCGGAAGACACGAAGATACTATCACCAATCCATCCTTACTCCAAGTCACTATAATCTCAACATCTACCGTTCTAATACTCGAAATGATGATACCCCATGGCTGTTCGTGTCGGAGACCAGCCCTCTTGCTGGCCACCCTGTGTCTCTCCCGTTGGATAGTACCAGCATCATCATCGCCCATCTCGTATATACGACGTGTACTGGAAGCGCACGATAAAGATCCCTACCAAGCAGACATTAGCTGGGCTCTCATGGAACGATACTTGGGACAACAAAAAGTCCGATCTGGAAATATAGGATTCGATATTGCCGAACCCGACCTCGAATCCATTGTACTCAACTCACTCGTATCCTACTTTACACCCTCCTTGACCAAAACACTCCAAGAAACACTCGGTGATGAATTCGATCCACTCGTGCTGGGAGATCCCGCATCACAACAACTCGGACAAATGCAAGTTGGCGATTGCTCTGCCACGGCCGAAATTGTCTACCAAAAGGAAATACTCCGGGGACTCTCCGGTGTCGTACTCGATGAACTCGAAATGGTACCCGAATCGGATCAGATTGACGTGTCCTTTTTCGATGGGGCCCATTGGAATGCCACGTGGGAATTGACGGCCAGTTTTCCCTTGTTGACGGCCGAAGCCAATGCCACACTCAAAATACATGCCTGCGGCACGGAAAAATTGGCCCAATCCATTGGAGGCATGGCCACCGTCGAACAACCCTCCATTTATCTACACATTGCCGTACAGGGTGACACGTCCAATCTCATCTTGTTCCAATCCACCAGCAAGGTCACACGGGCCAATATACTCGATTTGCGATTCAACTACGAATCCATACAAGCACAATTGGGGAGTTTTGGTACCAACTTGAGTGAAGTCAACTTTGGACTCACGCTGGGGGAAATGTTGACTCACGATGCCACCGTCTTTGAATTGCTCATGAAGGATGCCCTGCAAGCCAAAATTAACGAAGCCTTGCCGTTTGAACCGAATATTTGGTAAGCTATATCAAAGCATGCAACAAAGTGGGGAGTGTGACGTGGTTGGCACCAAGTGCTTGATTGGGTTCATCGTCTGGTGGGCGGATTCCAACGAACAAAACAATGCCTTCTTCGGTATTACTTACTAAACAAGAGTCATGGTAAATTCATATTATCTACTTGCATAAGTTTTGGATTCGTTCTATGGGTAGCCATTAAAAGAGCCACGCGAAGCTTGTTGCTTCACCGAGGTTGCAAGCCCTTTCGGGCCTCGTTTCAGGGCTTCCACGGGCTACAGGTACCATCAGACTGCATGCCCCACCCTGGAACTTCTTCTATGCCCTTCCCTGGAACCTCTTCCATGCCCAACCCTGGCACTTCTGTTGTACCGGTAGCTCTTTGCCTCGCTCATGATAAGGTGTGTCAGCATGTCATTGACCACGTCCGCATCGCCTCCAATAGTTCGCAGAATGTTTTGTCGATCCAGTTCGTCACTGGCCTGAGCTTGTCTCACGTCCACGGCAAAGCGCATGATTTCATGCACCTCTTGGTCTTCCTTCTGCTTTCGATCAGCTTCAGCGGCAGCATCATATTTGGTCGTTGCAACCAACGATGCTTCACACAAGATGGATTTCATCAGATTGAGAGGAAAGCAAAGCAAAGAGATCAAGCCCTTGATAATGATACGAACCGCCTTTCGAAACTTTTTTGTACGAACTCGCTTCAGTGCAAAACGCACCACGTGATACACGGCCATAACGGGTGCTGCAATAACTTTGCTGCCGCTCAGCTTTCGCTCTTCAAAAACCATGACCGGTGCAACAATGCAAAAGGCAATGACTGCAACCAGCTTGACCAAGCTCTTTGCCACAAACATCAGGAAACTCTTCAGATCTGTACCCGAAAAGTACAGATACGCGACTCCCAGACAGAAGCACTTGAAACAAAAGAGCAAAATGTGAATTTCCACTTTGTGCTCCAGGTAGTCGAGGTGGCCTTGCATCCTGATTTCCCGTCCTTGTCGTTCGAGTTCTTTGGTTACCCTGTATTCACGAACTCGTTCCCGCATCGTTGACAGATATCTCTTGTCCCCACCAATTGTGGCAGGAATGTTCTGTTGTAAAGCCACATATGCCTCAAAACAGCACCAAGCCCTCCGATGAATTGGGACATTTTGGGTTGATATAATGACCATTTGCTTCATGTAGTTGCTCTGGAGAGCCTTGTAGAAGGCATTGTCTTGCAGATTGCCAGACCTTCCAAGATAAAGCTTCTTGTCTAGGTTTTGTGGATTAGACAGGAAGCAAATGTAGGCAGCTTGACACTCACCGGGCCATTCACTGAGAAGATGGTTGGCAAATTCATAGATTCCTTCTGCCCATGCATGGGAGACAAAGAGATCGATATCAACTCCAGATGGATTCTTCATGAGGGCCCAACTGGATTTCGGCAGTGCATCCTTAGCGGCCAGGTTATCCCAATGATACCCAGCATATCTTCGACGAAGCTTCAAGCGCTCTAAGAGAGTACCCTTGGTGATCGGTTTGATGATTTGATGGTTGATCTGATAGATTGTGGGGCCTACATTGGGATCATTGAACTTGTAGTCAGGATACTGGAATGGCTTTTGGGAGGAGAGCTGCGGTGGTGTGTCTACCGAATGTTTACTAAACAGTTGCTTCTTTGCGACGCTCCCCAAAGATGCCGAACTTTTACGTCGTACCAAAGCTTGGGCAGATTCGTCTTTCTTTTTCGGCTCGAGAGATGGTGGCGGGATATTTCGCAGCAGGCCCCGTGCCTGGTAACAGCGAACCACATCCACAAACTCGATGAATTGGGCTTTGGTAACACCCCATCGAGAGGCAGGGACTCCCCCCGCCTTTTCTTCGGCAACATTCCTCAAAGATTGCCGCCGTTGCCTCATGGACAGAGCATACCACAATAGAAGAAGGGAGTCTAGAATAGGAGTATTCGAACCAACGATCACCTTTATTTGGATTTTTTGATTTTTTGTTTTGTTTTACTCTCGTGTTTATCAAAGAAGAGACAAGAGGAGTCCCGTGAATTTGGTGCCATTTTGCTGGTGCAGTGCTCCTTTGGGAGAATGGCACCTTCCACGTCAGTTGAAGTTGTTAAGTCCTTATGAGAACCTAGTGCTCTTAAAATATTTAATGAGTAGCCACAATTTGACCAGTGAGAGACTCAAAGACTTAATGTCAAAGTACCACTTGCATCAATTGTGTGAGACCCAATAAAGCCAGCTTGTACAATACAGCAAATTTCCTAAATATGTAAAAATGAGGAAAGTATAAATTTAAAACCCTCAGTATTAAGACTCTCATTTGTTGGCCCGGTGCAGGTGCACATGCTGCTGCTGAACTATTGCGCTACTGTAGCTATCAATGGCTGAGTTACAAGTAGCTTTTATCTACTAATCATTAATTCCACTGACACCTAATTGCATTGCTTCAGAGCTTTATGAAAAGTGGAAACGAGGTGGGGGTGCAGTGATTCAAAAGCTGCGAAAGCTTAAAAAGGTAGGTGTAACTCATTGTAAACAGTGTTGCCGTTGCGATGTTGTCTCTGTGGAGTTGTTTACAATACAAAGCTAGTTGAAACGATGACCACGTTAGTCGTCCTCCAATGTTCTACGCCAGTTACATCAGTTGCACGCCAGTTACGCCAGTTACCCTACGCGAGTTACGCTAGTTACGTCAGTTACTCTAGTTACGCTAGTTGAAGTGCCCCTAATTTTGGTGCAGTGCGGTGCAAGGGCGGTGCAGGAGAACTGCACCGGCACCAAATTATGGCACCAAATTCAACTGACCCGACAAGAGACAACGAAGAGGGATGAGGAAGAGGTTGAAGTTGTTAAATCCTTGAATTTCTTCAGAACCGGGCTTGGCCCTCTTCACAGACCTCAATCGCGATTGTAGCCTTAGCCCTACCGGTACTACCAGGTTGTGCCAGTGCGTGCGGCCTCATTTGGAAGGCCAGCAACATTCGAGCGCCAACAGCTGTAGCAACGCAGCGAGGAACTTCCCAACATGTCATGGTTGCTTAAAGAACATCTTCCAAGAGAAGCACAGGCTCAGGCACAAGTTCAAGTAAGAGCCTACCCATGCTTGGAAAACTGTTTGGCAAGATCACTGTGCAGTTGAGTTCCTGGTTAGTTAATCTGCTAATAACTGCAAAAGGTAGCTCACTGGCACAAATCCAAAGAAGCGGCCCGATGACCATCAGCTAAGAAGATCCAGAAGCTAGCTGTTCCTCCTCGAGACGTTTCTTCCGACTCAAGACCATTCGTTCTTCTCGAGAGGTTCTTCTCCTCGTGGGGTTTCATTTTGCCAGAGCAATCGATCCACCCAGCTGACTATCTAAGAACACAGACTACCCGTACGGCTAAAGGGGTGGCTAAAAACCGCTGCAGCCGAGATAGGATTATGATTATGCATGCAGGTCTATTGATATTCTATTCTAGGTCGATTCTATTTCTATTGTCTGTATTGTTTGATTGTCACCGCGGCCCTCCAATCTCATTTCTTTGGAATCTGATTGATCATGGCTGCTGTAATCTCGCCATATACTATGGTCCATGATTCTTCCACTTGTGGGCAGAAGTCCTTTCCCAGTAGTTCACCCAATGCCAAGAACAAGGAATCTCCCATGATTCTGTAGTAGTGCTCGTCATCAACACCCATGTGGAAGTGTTTCTTCCCCAAATCTGACATGATTTCTGTCAACAACTCATCATCTGGTCCCAGCATATTGAGTGCCTTGCCCAACATGGCAATCATATGCTTGCAGTGAACTTGAAATCTGCGGTTGGATTTCAATGATTCGTGGTCAGTCGCCATGTCCAACGGTAAACCAAAGAGAGTTTTGGTGCTAGGGCACTTGTTGAACATGCTGTAGTAAAACAAGATCATATGTTAGGAAACAGTCTGTTGACCAACTAGAATGGATACACAATATGTGTAGTTAGCCACTTACTGTGAGAAGAGAAGAGTGCCGGCCTCGACATCGTAGCCTTTCATTTGACGGAGTCTTTCCCAGGATTCAATGACATCATGGATAGTGGCAAAGTCAAGATCAGAGAAGCACATGGTTGATTGCTGTTGGTTGGTTGTTGGTTTTGAAGAGGTGTTTTGTGTTGTTGAAAACTCAAATTGTGAGATGAAATCTTGGGTGGGAGGTGGAAGAGGGCAGTCGGTAGCTCTGAGTTGAAGATCAAGGTGGATGTTGCACGATATCGATGCTGGGTTGACGAATGAGCGTATGCTGTATTCTGAGATTCTAGGCTATTCTACCAGTACTCCAGTACTGTACTATTATACCGTACTCTGGACGTCCTTCACTAGCTTGGGTGAAGGTAACTTTAATTAAAAACTCAGAGTAATCTCATTCTTCTTTTGTTCTTGCTGGTGATTATTCGATTATTCTGCTTCTCGAGGCTCGAAGCTTTTTTTAAGAAAGAAGGTTCGACCTATGCATAGTATTGTGTAGGAGGCACGGTGTTTCGGTCTGCAGCTGTACTGCTATGCTTGGCTGATTTTGGCCGGGTATCGGTACCGTACCTAACTTTGAGCGTAAGCCCTACTTAGAACTCGAGCCACTTTCCAATTGTACCTACAGTACTATAATAGTGTACTAGTACTTGGATTCGGTAGTACGAGCACAACTCGTACTTCAACATTTTAAAATATGTTATCAAGAATGTGCAACGTGCACAGCACATTCCCAATCCGAACTTTCTCCGAAACTGCTTTCGAACGGCACTGTGCTGGTTCCAGCATGGGCAGTACGCTGGTACCCTGTACCAGGTGGTATCTGGTTCTAGTAGGGAGCTAGAGCTACGGACATGGTACCCACTACCGGTCAGCCCCACAAAGAATTTTTTTTAAGCTAGTACTATAAAGGTTAAGCCCCCGCAGGGGGCTCTGAACCATAAAGATTGGGCCCCTTGGGGCCCAACCACCAAGCTAGCTAGCTAGTGGGAGTGGAACACATGGTCTTCTGGCTTGCCCTCAAAGCACTGCAGCAGAGCCTTCCCTCCAGTGCATTGTTAATTGTCACACTTGTAGATGAAGCAGTACATTGGTATGCGACCCCTGAAGGAAGCAATTGCTCTGTGTTGGCCTAGCTTGAGGCCACTTCTGATAACCAAAGACACATGCTTGTTGGTGCCACAATGGGGGCATGGAGTCTTGAGTCCTTCTTTGGCTGTTGCTGGGTCCATGAACTTGTACCTCGAATGCTTTTCCAGGATGCTGCGGTCAAATATCTCAGGCATAAAGAAGAGTGTGAGCCGGGAGCTCAAATTCCATGGCTGCTAGAGACTGTTGCTCTGCCTTCCATCGTTTGCCAACGCCG